CCTACCACTTTGTTTTAACTCCGTACTGTCTGTACTGTTCCTTTGCTATTTTGTAAAATGTTGTCTGTCTGTTAATGTTTTCCTCCTTTTATTTTTAAAGTAAAAAAAAATAAAATAAAATAAAGAGCTCCTTAGACCGTGGGGTGTGTGAGCTCCGGTAGGCTGTGAGACACGAACTCAACCCACAAGGATATCTTACACCAGTGACTGGAAACTAATTTTGGAAGTCAAGACCATTGGCTATGGAACAAAAAGATCAAACACTAGGCATAAAGACGTATGCACATTTTTATGTGCATATGCACATAAAATTTATTGTGATGTTTTATACTATCTCCTCTTTCTTTCCCTTCTTCCCTCCCTCTCTCCCTCTCTTTCTTCTTCCCTTCCTTCCTTTCTTTTCCCATACTGAGGATTGAAGGGTCTTTGTACTGTTACATCCACGATTCTTTTTTATTTTTATTTTTATTTTGAGACAAGGTCTCCTAAAGTCCCTCAGGTTGGGCCTAAATTTGCCATCCTCCTGCCTCAGCCTTCCACAGTGCTGGAATTACAGGGATGCACCATCAAGACTGGTTTTTTATTTTTATTTTTTTTTTTGTTGTTGTTGTTTTTTTTTTTTCCGGTACCGGGAATCGAACTCATGACCTCGCACTTGTCAGGCAGGGGCTGTGTCGCTGAGCTAAATCCCCAGCTCCTTGGTTTTATTTTTTTAAAAGAGAAAAATGTCTGTCACATTTCCACACATTTCCACTTATAGATACTTACATTTCCAGAACTTTCCCTGGTGTAGATGTAGGTTTCTTTCTTTCTTTCTTTCTTCTTTCTTTCTTTCTTTCTTTCTTTCTTTCTTTCTTTCTTTCTTTCTTCTTTCTTTCTTGTCTCTTATCATTTTCTTTCTGGTTGAATGAACTTTGGCAATTCTGGTAGAGCAGAGATGCTGGCAGCATATTCGGCATTTGTGTGACTGAGAAAGTTTTGTTCATTTTTTGAAACATAGGAAATCTGTCTCTTTTTTCTTTCAAAGTACTTTACTGACCGCTCTCCACTGTCTGTTGGTTGCTAGTTTCTGAAGAGAACTCTTCTGTTACTCCTTTTCACTGATTGTTAGCCATTTATGACATACTTTGGTAAGTTTTTCCTGAATTGTTAGATTGACTTATAGCTTCATCAAACATGAAGAGTTTTGACCATTCAATCTTCAAATATTATTTTTATTTATTCCTCCTCCTCTCCCTTAGGCTTTCTGCCTCACAGATCCTTGCCTTTCCTGGCTCACATGTCTGTTCTCTTCCACTTGGCAAGGTCTCTATTTTCTGTTTGTGTCTTCCATCCCCACATGTGTCCTGGAAACTGTCCCTGTCAATCTTACTTTGCTTTCTACCCTTTTGTCACATTTTCACTTTCACTACCAGCAATTAGTTCTTTTGATAAATCCACCTTCAGTAAAATGTGGCTCCTGTGGAGGACAGAAGAAAGAAGCACCTGAAGTAGAGGAGGTGCTACCCCAAGGAAGGGGCCAGAGGTGGCCTAGGGTGCTGGAATCCCTCTGTGAGAGGACATGACTTCAGGTTACCCTAAGGCTATCCCACCAAGGGCCTGACTTCCCTCCACAATGTCCTGCTTTCTCCAGGCTAGGAAGGATGCTTGGGGCTTGCACAGCGATAAATAATAAGGCAGAGGCTCTGCCTCCCATAGTCACTGATTGGTTCAAAGTAAGCCAGTCATACCAATCTCATTGTCACAGACACTGATTGGTCTGGAGTCAGCCAATCATAGTACTCACATCCTCATAGTGACCGATTGGCCCAGGGTCAGCCCTATCAGAGCAATCTTATCTTCACAACCCCTGATTGGTTGGAAGCCAGCCAATCACAGCAACTGCATCCTCACAGCTGCTGATTGGTCCACCTCCCAGGCATGAACCAGCTAGAATATTCCTTGGAGGACCAGATCTAAAGCCTCTGACTCAGTGGCTCCTGCAGGCTCCAGCCCTCCGTGCCCCTACTCCCTCACCACATGTGGTCTCCTGTAGATCCCATCTCATCAGCTGTGGCCTTGCCAGGCTGGGGGAGTTTGTTAGAGAACAACTGGGAAGGAGGTTCATTAAGTAGGACACCACTTGCCTGCCCCATGTTGCCTGGGTAGAGTCCAGAGCAGTATGCCCCTGGGTGTACAGAGGGCAGAGTGGGGACACACACGATGGGAGTCCAGGAGCCTGAGGTGAGGAGGGGGTCCTGAGGAGAACCAGGGGTGGAGTGGATGGACAGGCCTGGATGTGGAAGGGCTCAGGGATGATTTTGGGGGAGGAGTGCCCAGAAGAGACGGATATAGGCCTTGTCTCTGCTTAATGTCCATGCACCTCCCCTCTGTTGATGGAGTTGAGATAACCAGGGGCCTTCTGGTCAGTGGAGCTGCAGGATCTATCTTCAGAGCTTGGCCTCTTGAAGGCAATAGGGCTCCTTCCTGGCCAGAGGACTTGGTACTGTTCCCTCCCAAGGCTGATTCTTCCTCTGACAAGGAGACCTAATATGATTGCCCCCTGAAGTGAGGTAAAGAGAACTGAGCCCCACCCTGTGAACTCAGAGGACTTAGGGTGGGGTGATAGTGCCTTCCCATGGCACCCGGTTGCTTCTTTGAGGGAGGCCATAGCTTCCCTCAAATGGAGGCTCAAAGGGCTCACACCTTGTGTCCTATAAGAAAACAGGTGGGAATGGGGAAGATGTAGTCCCTAGTTGCCACTGTGCCTGAGGTTCCATGGTGAGTCATTTCTGCTCTTGACTAGGTTAGCAGTCCGACCCCAACAGCTGGAAGCCCAGCAGCATTCCAGTGCTAGAGATCCAGCAGCTGAGAGAGGGACCATCAAACATCCAGTATTCAGTCTGTGGCGAAGCCCACCTGGGAATCCCAGTACACAGAGGGGACCAGTGGATCCTGTGCAGACTGGAGCCACTCTCACTCCGATAACTCACTGCAGCTGGAATAGGAATTGCAGCATTCCAGGGCCTGAAACTCCAAGGCCCTCTAAGAGAGGGTGGCTGGGCCTCTGCTCTCCAACATTAGGGCTGGTGGGTACCAGACGGACATATGAGTGGCAGGGCCATGTGTCACATGGAGGGCCTGGGTCTGAGTCATTTCCTCCTCCAATCTAAGTTGCTCTGGAGAGATAAATGGGGAGTTGAGAGCTGGCTGGGTAGAGAGGAGCAGGATTGGCCAGGGTAAGTTCTCCTGACTCAGAAACTCCAACATGTGAGACTCCAGTGTGGACCAACCTCCAATCTCCATGGGCTCCATTCTCTGCTGACCCCAGCTAGCCCTGGCTTCTGGCCAGACTCATGCCAGGGGACTGACATCCTCACTCCTTCCAGATGCTGAGCCCAATGCTGAGCCTGCTGATGCTGGCACTGCCCCTCCTGTCCGGTGTGGTCCACACAGTCCCCGGTGAGTCCTGCCCAGACTGGCTTTGTCTCTGCCTGCAGCTTCTCATCTCACAGGCAGGTGGGCTTAGAGAAGCCCAAGGTCTCCCCAGCACTGGGCAGGGTTGAGCCAGGATGGGGCTGTGGCCTGGTCTTGAGATTATTCCCAACTCCAGCACCAGGCCTGGCCCTGGAGCGAGCGGGCATTGTGGGGGGCCAGGAGGCTCCTAGCAGCAAGTGGCCCTGGCAGGTGAGCCTGAGGTGCAACTTCAACTTCTGGATGCACTGTTGTGGAGGATCACTCATCCACCCACAGTGGGTGCTGACTGCAGCTCACTGTGTAGGACCGTGAGTGACCACGGGACCAGTGGGTGGAGCATGGTGCCAGTTTCCCCCAGGGTGCTCCAGAGGCTAAAATACCTGGCCCAGGGCAGGTCTCCCTAAGTAAGGCTTTGCCTTTCCAGGAACATCATGAGCACTGAATTATTTCGGGTGCAGCTCCGTGAGCAACACCTTTATTACCGAGACCACCTGCTGCCCATTAACCGGATCATTATACACCCTGACTTCTACAAGCCCCAGGATGGGGCAGACATTGCCCTGTTGGAGCTGGAGGACCCTGTGAACATCTCCAGGCGCATCCACCCCATATCCCTGCCTCCTGCCTCTGAGACCTTCCCCTCGGGGACACCGTGCTGGGTGACAGGCTGGGGCAATGTGCACAGTGGTGGTGAGCGGCAGGGACAATGAGGGCTTGGACAGGGTTATACCATGGCCTCAGCTGCAGGGTTCCTTTTGGGGGACAAAGATGGGCCTTGATCTGTTTGTCCCTGAGACTACTTCTCTCACCCCAGAGGCACTCCCACCACCCTTTCCCCTAAAAGAAGTAAGGGTCCCCATTGTGGAAAACCACCTTTGCGATGCCAACTACCACACGGGGCTCTCCACGGGCGACAACATTCACATTGTTCGAGAGGACATGCTGTGTGCTGGGAACAGCCGCAGGGACTCCTGCCAGGTGGGTCTCAACCACAGTCACTGCCCCCTCCTACTCATCCTGGCCTTGCTTTTGAGCACTGACCCTTGTTCTCCCCAGGGCGACTCCGGAGGGCCCCTGGCCTGCAAAGTGAGGGGTACCTGGCTGCAGGCGGGTGTGGTCAGCTGGGGTGATGGCTGTGCTCAGCCCAACCGGCCGGGCATCTATACCCGTGTAACCCACTACCTGGATTGGATCCACTGCTATGTCCCTGAGTATCCCTGAGCTGGGTTGGGAGGGCTGATCCTGCACCAGGGGAGAAGCAGCCCCTCTTGTTCCCAGCATGCCACCTCCTGCCCAGGTAGCACCCACCTTAGTCTTCCCTGTTCTTCTGCCTTGAGCCCTCTCCCTGTCCAGAGCCCCCTCCCCTGCTATCCCTCCTCTGTTTAAGTAGCCGGTGCTAATCATCCTAGCAGCTATGTCTCATTAAAATGCATGAAAAGCATCCAAGGTTGTCCCTGGGTTTCTAGTTGTGGGTGTCACTGGGGAGAAGGGTCTTGGGCAGGGCCAGGGTGTAGCTTTGTGGCTGTGGGGTCCCCATTGCCTGAGGCCAGCATGTTGCCATGTGAGCCCTCCTGCCTGGTGCCTCATCGCCAGAGCCCACTTCTTTGCTGAAGCTTATTGCCTTTTGGTGATTGGCACCTGGCCTCAGGACAAGTAGAGCAAAAGGGATCACTTAAGAGCTGAAAGTAGAGGACAGCTAGGGACCCCACAAACGACAGGATCCAGAAATTGAGCATTATCATCCCAAGCCCCCATGGCCCACTCCCTACTCCAAACACCCTCCCCCTGTCCTGACCAGGGTGTGGTGGGAACTTTCCCTGTGTCTGATGTGACATTCCTCTGTGATCTGATTGGAGCAAGCCCCAGAAGTTTGCTTTTCCCCTGAACCCCACGCTGATGACCTCAATCACCAGCTGCTGCAGGTGGACTTTGGGGCATTCCCAAATGCGGCTCCAGGACTGGAGTAGCCGTGGCTGTTCCTATGCACACAGGTGCTGGTGAGGGATGCTCCTAGGGTTTAAGGGTACACATTCTCTATGTGTAGGGACATCCATTGGACCTGTTACCACCCATTCCCACTCACCCCCAGCAGCACCTGGTGCTTTCTCAGCCTCCACCTGCACCATTCTGTCAGGTGGCACCGCATGAAACTGATCACCATCATTGTGAATATGATGAGGGCATCCCTTTCTTGGCTGGAGCCCTCACCTGCACTGTAGGGATAAGAGGTCCATCTTCCCTATGCAGTGCTGGGGATGCAGTCTCTGAGGTCACACCTTCAGCCACGCTGCCCGATCCTTGAGTGCACATCTAGACTGGCCTGCACATATCTCCTCTGGAACACCCAGTTACCTCCCTGTTTTTGTCACTACAGATACTTGGGATTGTTTTCTCCTGTTTTTTGTTTTGTTTTGTTTTGTTTTGTTTTTCTCCGGTACCGGGAACCGAACTCACGACCTTGCGCTTGCCAGGCAGCCCTTTTGCCGCTGAGCTAAATCCCCAGCCCCCTCTCCTGTTTTTTGTTTTTTGGTTTTTTTTCCTTTTTTTTGGTCAGCTTAGACCATTCCCCTCAGATCAAGTCCCCAAAGCTTCCTCTTGGCTTGCAGCTATGGTGCAGACTGTGATCCAGATGCCCAGCCTTGCAGCCTGTCTGGGCCACTGTAACATATAGGGCCTGGAAGGATGCCCCTTCCTAGGCAGGTGGCAGGAACTTAGGAACTCAAGGGAGGGATGGAGTGGGACTCAGGTGTGCCTGCTGAGGAAGTTCGTACTCTCTCTGGCAAACTGTTCCTGGGTTCTGGCTTCAGATCCTTGTACCCATCATGTGGCCCCCGAACAGATATGTTGCCCTGTGTCTGCACCAGCTGTGTGTCCCTGCCCTGGTGTGCACTGCATGTGCTCAAAAGCTGTATGAGTCGGCTTTCCTAACGCCCAAAATTTAAAGGAGTGGTTTAGTTTGGCTAGTGGTTTCTGAGCATTCAGTCCACGGCTGGCTGGCTCCATGGCAGGAACATCATGGTAGAAGGTTATGGCAGAGAAAAGATACTTAGTTTAAGGTAGCAGAGAAGCAGAGCAGAGGAAGAGTGCCAGAGAGGGAGGGGCCAGGGAACAGACATAGTCCCCAAGGCCACACCTCCATCACCTACCCAGATATACGCAGAAGTGTGCTCTACCAATCTCCCCAGTGGCTTCCAGAGCCAGTCAAGTTGAAACTGCACACTACCACATTAGCAAAATGGGCAGCTAACCAGCTCAGTCCTTTGGGATTCACTCTGGGGCTTTCAGGTGGGAAGAGACTTTTTGAAGAGATTTTCACTTCCCTCTACTACCAGTTGTCTGGTACAGATACCTACATTTACCCCGTAGAATCTCTGGATGATCTCTATCCTCCTCAGGGGAGATTCTGAAATGACCCACCTGGCCCTTCTCCAGCCCCAACCCCTGATTTCTGTGGGCCTGCCACCCACACAAGGGAGGGGGTGAGGATGCTGGGAGTGTCTCTGGGGGCACTGCTTCACACAGTAACAGTTCCCGTACAGTCCTGGCCCTCACTCTCCAAAGTGAAATCCACTGGGAAGGAGGTGCTAAACTGCTCCATTGTTCCTTTTGGTTTTATTTTTAATGGCAAACATTTGCCATTAAAAAAAAAACACAAGATAAAACTGGAAATTTGTCCCTCCATCTTCGTGCCCACCCATCTTGCTCGCTAGCTTTCACTGTTGGCAGACAGGCTGACCTCTGGCTTCAATAAGTTGATTCCGACATCCTTAGCGGAGGCTGTACAGAGTGAAGGCAAGGGACAGAGGTCCCAAGGAGATGAAACATGGTCCTGGGGGTGGAGTTGGAAGGGAAGTGACAGAAGGGCTAGAGGAAAGGGCAGGGTGTTTTATGCTGGGGCTTTCCTCTTATCTGGCACTCATTTCTGAGAAGCTCAGCCCAGCAGCAGATATGATGCATAAAAGTGAGGGTGCACACCTGTAATCCCAGCACTTGGGAGACTGAGGCAGGAGGATTGCTGTGAGTTCAAGGTCAGTCTGGAATACATACAGAGACCCTGTCTCAAAAAATAAAAAATAAAAAAGTGCAGGTTGGCCCTATTGAGGTGGTTGCCGGGTAGGTTCAGCAGGATGAATAATTCTCTCTGAACAGCCAGGGCTCCTCCCCAGGGGACAGTGCCCAAGAGACAGATGTAGCCCCAAGCTCAAGCTCTCCTGGGATCCTAGCTATGGGAGACCTGCCAGAGGCCACCCCCAGGGCTAGACCACCCCACCCCCACATGCTCTCTGGCAGATGAAGACACACTGGCACCTGTCACAGCACTGCCCAGGGGCCACAACACGATGGTCCAGAGTATCTTTCTTGACAGCAGGCCTGGGATCTGGGCAGTGTTGAGGGCTCTGCAGGGAGCAGGGTCATGGTATGCAGGTTGGGCAGTGAGTTCCCTGGTGCTGCAGGTGGATTGTGCTGGGACAGGAGAGAGCCCTGAAGTCCCCTCTTGGGGAGACCTGGAATGACTCTGAGGGAAGGTCTCAGGATTTGATTCCATGAAGACCCTGTTCTCCCCACCTGCTTTAACCCCACTGAGTGACATCCAGCTCCTAGGTCCCCATGTAGACAGCATGGACTGGGAATACCTGCTTTCCCACCCTCTGCCCCTGAGCTGAGTGACCAGGAAGGTCTCTTCTTCCCCATGCAGCACCTCCCAGGTGTTGCCATCCGAAGGAGGAAGGTGGGGGCAGCTGATGTCATCCCTGTTCATCAGTAGATCAGAAACTTACACATCTTTGAGCCAAGGCCATCACTAGCCAGGTCCTGGTGTAAAGGAGTCCAAGTTTATGCCCTGTGGAGCTGCATCCTGTAAATTATCAGGCTGTTCCCATGTCTCAGCCCCTTACACTTAAAAGGGATGCTTGACTTAGAGGGTCTGAGTGGGACCCTCCAAACCCAGCCTGTGATGTGGAGATGGAGACAGTTCCTTACTCTTCCTAGGGCTTCTAATCAGTTTGATCATCAGGCTCAGCCATACAAGAAGCCCTGGAGAGCTGGAGGGCTCTGTCCACTTGATCTTTGGTGCAGACCAGGGAGGAGACCCGAGGACAAATGTGAGGAGGACAGGGACATTGCAGAGGGTATATTATCATGGAAGCTCAAGCTGACTCTCCAAGCTGTCTGGGCCTCAGGTTGGGATTTTCTTGAGACACCCCCTGTGACTTGCATAAACCAAGGAGGGCATCTGGAAGCAGTGGCATTGATTCTGACCTATGCTGGTCGCAACAAATGCTCAGGTTTGCAGTGGGGCACCTGGGTCTCATCCTATCCTTACTGTGGTCTGATTTACTCCTTGAGCCATTCACCGGCTACCTGGGCTGCAACATCCTCCTGAGAACAAAGGGAGATGACAATTCCTCCTGCTGTATACAGAGGGAACAAGGTGGGGCCTGTCAGTGGCCCCTTTTCTTCCTCTTCCCTTGCTGCCCCAGTTATCAGGTGCAAAGCCTTCCCTACCCAACCCCATACCACACCACACACCAGCAGCCCAGGGATCAGGGTAAACCCTCCTCCTGGCCCTGCCATGGACAGATGACATGGCCTGTGAGCCCAGGACCTTTTGCAGCTCCTGGCTGTGCCTGGTGGATGACCAGCCTGGATGGAGGTGGGGTGTTGCTGGGAGAGCATCTGCATTCTGCTGGAGTGGGTGGACCCTACAGTCTCTCTAGGAGATGGCCTGTTTCCCACTAGCCATGGAGCTGGAGCCTCTAAGCCAGCCAGACTCTGTGGGTCTAGGCCAAGAGAGGGGGAAATACTATGTCCTTGCAGTGGGGCCTGGTGTGTCATGTGCATAGTCTGCAACCCTGGGTGAGGTGCTGAGACAGAGGGTCCCAGAACCCAGACATGGTGAGGCTTTCTTCGGGAGGGGTGCTGGAGGGCATGAGTGGCCGAGGCCTAGGCCTCCCAACTGCTGTTTATGACTGGTCACTATGGCTGCTGTTTATTGTCATGGCTGCTGTGGGCCTGGGATGGTCACTGGGAGTCCTACCTGACTGCCTAGATACTGGGTTCAGACGCTTAGGAGAGGGGACCCATTCTACGGTTACCCTGGAGCCCAGTGGGCATCACTCAGAACTTTGGAGCAGGAGGTCCCTACCTGGGCATTTGCCCTCATCCTGCCAGCCTGTCTTCATCTCTCAGGTGTTTCCTGACTCTGCAGCCAGGTGTGCCCCCACCTCCAAGGAGTGCAGGGTTGGAGTAGAGGCCTGGCAGGAGTATCTGAAGGGACACTGTCCATTCTGGGTCACCTGGAGGCCCAGAGAGGTCACTGGCTCATCACATGTGACTACTCAGGAATCCTGGCTGAGGGTACAGGCCGGGCCCTCTGGAAAGCCACCCCTCTCTGTTTCTCAGTTAATTTGTGACTTTCACGAGATTCTTTGAGGCCACACAAATAACCTCGCAGCCTCTCTTCCTGTCATCATCACTCATGGTTCTTGTCTGAATCAATGCTATTGCTGCCACCTTCTGGTGACTTCCCCAAGCCAAAGTCTCATCCCTCCTTGGGTACCAGTTGGCATTCTGGGGCAAAAAGACTCCTCTCCATCTCTTTCTCTGTGTAAACTGTTTCTTATTTCACTTAGTTGTACAGATTTAATTATTACTATCACTTTGTGTGAGCACAAAGTGACCCAGATCTGGCCAGTGGGAACCCTTTAAACTAGATTCTGACTTTTTAAAAAAATTTTATTGAAGTGAAATTTACATAAGAAAATTAACCATAATAAAGTGCTCGCTGGGCTGGCATTTAGCTCATTTGCAGAGCTGAGACAATCGCTATTCTCACCCTAAGAGGAGGCCCCATTCCTACCCAGTAGTTACTCCCCCACCCTCCGCCCAGCCTCTGGGGTCTCTGAGGTATCCAGCTCTCCAAGGTCTTTCCCTGGCCCCCATTGCCAGGGTCCTGCTAACATTAGAAACCAAGGCGAGGGAGCTGGGGTGCTCCTGACTTCCAGGGTATCACTTTCTGCATACACAATCCTTCTGGATTGTCCCAACAGACAGAAGATGCCCACGGTGGGAGGGGTGGTGAGGGAGGCTTTTTGGCGGAAGAGCATGGATGGAAAGCAGGCTCTGAGGACCAACCTCTACCACCGCTTGGCTCAGGGTGTGGCAACCCCAGGTTTCCAATGCAGGGAGCCATATTGCCCCAGCTAGTGTGGTCATGGCAGGCCAGCCTCTGCCTCTGCAAGGTGCATATATGTGGAGCACCCTGTGGATGCTCGCTGCTGCCAGGGAAACCGATCCTTCGTTGCTCTTTAGTACACAGGGCGAACTATGTTACCATCTACCCACTTGATGTGGCAGTGTGCAGCTACAGAGCTCAGAGAATATATTTGTCTGCTAGGCTGATTGGTGCTGGCCTTGGCCTAACCGGCACAAGACCGCTTCTGTGCATCTTTGCATACCTCCTGGGCCAGGCAGCTCACTCCCTCCCCACTGCTGAAATCTGCAACTCTACCCCAACCAGCCCTTCTAGGGCTCAAGAGTGTCACTGATCTCCATCATGTTTGACATCTTCCTTTCAGAAGCAGCAGAGATCCCCAAGGTGCCACCCCAGTCCTGCAGCACAGCTGCAGCCCAGGCTCAGGCCTCAGTGGCTGAGGAACAATTGCAGCCTGGCCAAGGCAGGCTCTGGGTTGCTGGATACTGACTGTTGTCTTGCCACTGGCCAGTCAGTGGTGATGACCCCACACCCATACCCTGTCCTCCAGGTCTCTGAATTAATCCAACTATCAGGTCTACTTCGAGGAGCTGCTAATAGCCACGTCCCCGAATTCTCTACAATAATGTGGGTCGACCTGTACCCCAACTCCCCAGGACCTCTGGGGTTTGGCCGGGGCTTCATCCTTGTGCATCTAGGTGGCCCTCTCCAGACAAATCCTGTCTACCTCAAAGAGACCTTGGCTGACTTCTACCCTGGGATGTAGTGCTGGGTGACAGGCAGGAGCTATACACAGGAGGGGTAGGGACCCTTCCATCACCCTGTCTGTGGGTGCCCCATCTCAGAGCTCACTACACATCTGGTCACACCAAGACCAAAGACTCAACCAGTATGCAGGCAACCAGGTAACCATGGTACAGGGATTGTACCTGAGAGACATGGCCCACCCTTATTCTCAGCAGTACAGGGGCAGCAGCGCCAACATCCTAGGCGCACATACCTCCCCTAGAACCTCTGTGTCCCCCAAACAGCCTGCAGGAAACAGAAGTCTCCATGGGGAACCTGCAGAAGGCCTATTCCAGGCTAGATAATGCCATTCATTGGAACTGCTGTGAGGACAGGGCTCGGGGGACATACATCAGGTGAGGGTGGGGAGTGGGGAGCCAGTGAGATCTCCTATATGACTTCTTGGTGGCGGGTTCTCGCCCTTTTCTGCCCACAGAATGACTCCGGAGGTCTCCAGTCTGCCAGAGGGATGGAAGACCTGGCTGCAAGCTGGTGTGATCAGCTGGGGAGTAGGCTGTGGCCACACCAAAGGGCCTGGGGTCTACACCACATCCCTGCATATTTGAACTAGATCCATCATCATGTGCCACAGTTGGGGGTGGAGGCTTCCCCTGCGAGGCCTCTTTCTGCTCGGCCTACTGCTCCTGGTCTTGGGCATCCTGGTGGCCAAGTTATGCAGGTTATGCAGGGCCTTGCTCAGCTCCCGTTTCTGCCCAACCTGGGACACTTGATTCTGAGGTGGTAACCAAAGTGTATTTCTTAAATAAGTTAGTATTTATTCTGCTTTGCCCCTTCCCTCCCCTTTTCCTTAAGAAGCTGAGTTTTCTGCATCAGATTATTGCAACATGTAACCTGAATTTATAAGACAAAGGGAACAGAACAGAACGGAACAGAGGGCTCAGTCTCCAGGCCACAGGGCTGGACAGCTGGGCGGCGCCATTAGAATGGGGCCAGGGCGTCTTATTGCGCAGGTCACAACGCCCTGGTGAGGTGGCCTTCCCAGAGTCACAGGATGCGCCTAGAACCCCCGAGCTGATGTGAAGAGGTGCCACGGGAGAGGGAAGTGCGGAGGGTGATATATGGGGACTCAGACTGTGAGCAGAGGTGACACTGGCCATGGTGGCCTTGGGGACCGAGCCTGTTGCTGAGGGCCTGAGGCTCAAGCGTGTGCTCCCTATAACAGTGGAGTGTGGGGACAGTGCTGTGGTGCCCTTTCCCACAGATACAGCATCTTGTCACCAGCCTGCTGATAGGCCCTACATGGCCAGATGGTGGCAGCGGCAAAACTCAGACCTGAACTGACCCAGTGGATGGGACAGATGTCATGGGCGATGACTCCCACAACATGGTGCACAGAATGCATCCACCTGTCTCTCCTGGGCTGTCCTCCTGGCCCTCTACCCATCGTGGGGCCTGAGCCAGGGTCCACTCTCTGCCTGTCTGAGGCCACTGCCCCACAGGGTGGCCCTAACCCCGTGCAAAGCCCTGTATACTTTGAGTCTGAGCTACACGGGCTCATCTGCATTGTCACCGGGGGCAGGGGTGGCTGGGGGGGAACCCGGTTTCTTCAGGGAGGTCTGGGGAACCATAAGGTACAGTCCCCGCCCCCTCTCTGGGGGATCCACAAAGGGTACAGAAAGCTCTGTTTCATGGGCATCCAGAGGCACTGTGGCCCCTGAGGAGGAAACTCTGGGTTCTGGGGTCACACTCTGACTGCTGTCCAAGAAGGGGATCTCACTAGGGCTCCCCATGTTTAGTGGCTCGAAGGCAAAGCTGGGGACAGTCAAGTGCTCTGCCCGGCAGGAGCCCTGGCCCCACCGATCCCCCTTGGCAGTGGGGTCCCCTCCAGTGCCCTCCATGGGCTCTAGGCAGTCCCTGTGGGGTGCAGCCTCACAGGACGGGGTTCTGCGCCGGAGGGTGCTGCTGCCTTCTGCCACCGGGGGCCGTGCAGAGCCCTCATCCTCTGCAGGGGGGTCCACGGAGATGCAGGGAGGGCTCATCTTCTTCTTTCTGCGTGCCCCCAGGGCTGGTTCGAGCTCTGGAACCCGGGCCTTTACTTCCTCTGGCTCTAGGTGGCCATCACCACTACCCAGCTCCACCGAGGGCCACCTGTGTGTGTCTGCCCGACCTGGCATGTCCAGGAAGCCCTGGGCGTCCAGATCACAGAGCCTATGCAGGTCCTGCCCGCTGCCTGACACCCCTTGGGCTGCGGGGGAGGCCACAGGGGAGGCCTCAGGGCTATGGGGCTCAGCCGCAGGCCACGGGTGAGCGGAGCTGGTGATGTGTCTCACTTCCTCATCTGCTGGATCTGCAGCTTCGGCCTCATCTCCGCCAGAGGCCAGGAGCCGGCTAGAGACGCAGCGCTGTCCAAAGGTGTGCTTGCGGGTGCGAACACTGGCAGGCCATGGGGAGCGGGATGGGGACTTCAGGGAGCCCCCCAGGGACGCCTGCCTCACTGGGGTCTTTTCTACAGACCCTGTGGAGTCCGGGCCGCTGTCCCCAGGGCCGTCAATCTGCCCTTCCAGAGACTCGGTACGCACAGCCTCCTGCAAGAGCCCGGGGTTATAATGAGGAGGGACCCCAGCCAGCAGTCAGGGCCAGGAACCCTTCCCCACCTGGGACCTGGAGCACCAGAGATGGGGCCCCCACCCATGAGGCCCAGGGGACAAGCCCATGCCTGCCACACTGCAGCCCCCAGAGGCTGGTGCCTGAAATGGGGACTCCGGTCCCTACAACCAGGTCTGCTGTCACATCCTGGGCTGCATAGTATAGTGGCCCTGATGCTCTGAGACCACTTAGTAACAGCCAGGAAACCGAGTCCCCAGGACATGGCCCAGGATTGTGCTTCCTCCAACTGGATGGAAGAATGGCACAGAGTTCCCAAGCCCCAGGGGCAAGAGCTCCCCTACCTGTCTGCACAGCAGCCGGCCAAGGCTGGGGGAGCGGGATGCACCCCGAGGGGGCGGAGCACACTGGGGGTCACTGCCCTTGGCTGGGGAGGATGTCGCTGGTGGAACCTGGAGGGAGGCACAGGGCTCCAGGGGTGGAGAGTGAGCAGAGGTGGCTGGGCCTGGGCAGGGATGTGTCTGAACTGAGTGGCCTACCAACCTGTCTCCCACCACCCCACCCCTGCCCAGTACAGCTTGCCCAGCCCAACCTCCATCCACTCTCTTGCTTGGTCCCTGTCTGCCTCCCTACCCAGCCCCCACCTGCCTCTGGTCCACTGTTTTCCCGGCTCCCATTCTCCCCTTTGCCTGGTCCTGTACCCCACATCCATGCCAGGGCCCGTACCTGAAGAGGGACCTGAGTAGGTCTCCATCTCCACTTCCTGAAGTGGGTGGGGAGCTGCAGCAGGTGCCACGGGCCGGAACATGTAGCTGTCACTGGGCAGCGACAACATCCTGGACACGGACACCTTGCGTACGACCAGGAGGTTCGGGGCATCTGGCTCACAGCCTGGGCTGTCCTGCGGGTAGGGAGGCCTTGCTCATCAGCCTAAGGCCACCCCTATACTACACCCCTAACCCCTCTCCCTTGCTGGACTCACCTGTGCCCCGGACAGGGGCTGTGCTGGGGCCTCCTGTGCCAGCTCTAACTCAACCTCTGCATCCATCTCGGCATCCTCACGGGCCTCCTTGTTGCTCTCCTCCAGGTGTTTCATGAGCACAGCCACCACAACGTTGACCAGCACAAACTGGGCCACCAGCACAAAGGTGACGAAGTAGATGGGCGAGAGCGCTGGCAGGTAGCTGAGGCAGTGCTTGTCCTCGCGGGCACACTCACGCAGTGTGTCCTGGGCCAGCAGGCAGCAGGGTTACACTTTGACTGCCCTCACCAGCAGGTGCCCGCCCCTGCAGGCCCCACTGGTACCTTCATGATGCCATTCCAGTTGTCACCAGTGGACACGCGGAAGAGTGTGAGGAATGCCATGCCAAAGTTGGAGAAGGTGGCGTGCCGGCTCAGGCCCTCACAGGGGTTGTCCTCGCTGCACTCTGCAGGGGGTGGGGGTGGGTTTTCAGCCACTATGCTCTAACTCATTCTCAGCTGACAGCACTGCCTATACTTCACCCTCCTGGACAGGCCTAGCCTCTTGGCTCAAGCTGTGGGTGGTAAGTATGCTTTTGCCTTCTATGCAGTGACAGGGTGCCCTGACTGCTGGGCTTGGTCTATGAGTCATCAAACCCAGCTGGGGGAACCTAGAATCCTGAGAAGGAGTTGTAACATCTGTGACTGGACCAAGCTCCCCCGGGTGGGCAGACCACAGGCTGATTGCCAGTGTGGCCACCTACTATCCAGAGATCACAAGGCCCCAGGCTGACCTGGGAGCTGGAAAAGGGTTAACAGGGATCGGGCTGCCTGTGGAGGTCCCTACCTACCCCAGCCCAGAATGGGAAGTATCTCTGGTGACGATCTAAAAGGACATGGAGCCAGGTACGGTGGTCCATGCCTGTGAGCCCACTTTGGGAGGCTGAGGCAGAAGGACTGCAAGTTTGAATCCTGCCTCAGCAACTTACTGATTCAGTGAGACATTGCTTCACACACACACACACACACACACACACACCAAAAAAAAAAAAAAAAAAAAAAAAAAAAAACAAAGTTGGGAATGCAGCTCAGTGCAAAAGTTCTGGGTTCAATCCCCGGTACCGTAAAAAAATAAATGTATGAATTAATAATGGTAAAGATTAAAAAATAAAGAAAAACATACTGGTGGCACCTGTCTCCTGGGGACCATGTAGGGGTCAGGATGAGGCATGCTCTGTGAGCTTGTATGACTATGTGAGCATGCTAGTGTGTGTGAGATGTGTGTGCATGAGTGCTGGTGAATGTTTCTAAGCACACCCTCACCGTCCCTGAGCGTGGTCTTGCCTGGACGTCTGGGTCTGTGTGCAGGCATGTCTGTGTCACTGGTCTGGGCGCCTCTGTGCATGCAGCAGCCCACGTGTGCCTACTGCAAGCAGTGGGCTCCAGTAAGCCTGATGAGGCTGGAAGGGTGGGGGCACCCCCAAGAGGCTGGTGGGCTGGCCACGTCTGGGCCAGTGTGCTGAGCTTCCCAGGGCACAGGCCTGGGTGCTCGTGGCTGAGCACAGCAGTCACACTTCCCCAGTTCCACGTCTGTGTGCTGCACTCACCAAGCCTCCCGAACAGCTCCACTCCCAGGGCAGCATAGATAAAAAACAGGAGCATGAAAAGAAGACCAAGGTTCCCTACCTACATGAGAAAGAAGCAGAAAGGGGTCAGCCTGGCCGCCATCCAGCCCTCGGCACAGGCCTAGCACCCATTGCCAAGGGAGGTCAAAAGAGGGACAGAAATGGGCTCAGACCCCACCCCGGCTTTGCAGCCTCTTGCGGCCCTTGGAGCTCCCTGTCCTTGTCCAGCATCCAGTGTCCCCATCCCTGCCAATCTCTGGCCCTCATCATCCCCCACCGCCCCCTCCTCATCCTGCCTCTGAGCCACTGTCCCCACAGCCACTCCACCTCTGTCCAGCAGGTGCTTTTCCCAAGGCCTGGAGTGTGCTTTCCCTGGCTCGCCCTGTGTGGGCCGACTCCACCTCAGACCCCAGGACAGGGACCCCTGCCAGTGCTCAGCAGACAGGAAGACCATCCAGGGGCCCTGCCTACTGACCCCAAACCAACCCAGCCCCAGCCCTCCCCGTTCCCAAACCCAGGGACAGCTGAGCACAGTGAAACTCTGAGCAGCATTGGGAGTGTCGCTTGGGGGAAACTCAAAATGCTGCTAAGGGTAGGCACGGTGCGGATAGGAACTGAGGGCCAGTGGGTGGTGCACGGGTAAACAGGTGCCAGTGCGGAGGCTCTAGAAAGGAGGTGGGGGATAAGTGGGCTGTTAGAGATGTGGCCAGTGGACTGTCAGCTGAAGGGCAGAGCACAGAGCAACAGGGGAGATGGCCTACAAGTTGGGCAGTGGCAAGTGGCTGCTTGGGGACTGAGCCCCACAACAAGAGTCTTTCACTTTAGGCCAGAAGAGACCATGGTGGGGCCAAGGGTACAAGAAGTGAGGACATGAGCCCCAGCAACCCCAAGGCTGCAGTCCTCTGCCCTTTTATAAGCAAGCCTGCCTCGGCCCCTGCTGGCCTCTACCTTGACTCCCTTTCTGTGGCCCCTTGCCTCCAGAAGTGTACAATTGGGACAGACCATGGTCACTGCTCTTGCCCAGAGGCTGGGGCCAAGGCAGGTGGCCTCTCTACCTCTTCCAGCTCGGCTGAGGCACACATGCGCCATGACCTCGGCTGTGGGACCAGGCACGTGAGGGAGGGAGACAGGGGCATGAACCAGGCCCTTCCTGCGGCCTTATCCTTGAGGACACGTGGTGCCCACCCATGGGCGTTGCCTGGGCCCCGACCTACCTGGGGCAGGGCTTGCACCACGGTGTCCAGCAGGGCCCGCATGCCCGTGGCCATCTTGAGCAGCTTCAGCACTAGGGCCAGGAGCTGAGTGTTAGCAGGCTTGGCTGACCCCTGATTGTCCAGGGATACATCCCTTCACTTCCTGCCTGGACTCTAGGACCTCCTCACACACTGACCCAGCCCCAGTTGCAGAGGTCTCAGACATAGGTAAGGATGAAGACCAGGCGTGAGGCAAAGTATTTGGGTCTATCTGCCATCTGTACTGCTGGGCCTGGGACTCAAGGCTACCACTGGGTTCAGCCAACAGCCTAGGGGAGTGGCAGCAAATCTATAGCATGCAAGCTGCAGTGGGCTACTGTTATCACTGAAAACTCTAAAAGGTGTGCCATCACTGGCCTAGGGGTCCCCAGGGTGACGGGGATAAGGGCCACTTACCGCGGGCGATGCGGAGCACACGCATGATACGGATGATGGTGGGGTTGATGGGCAGTGCAGCGTTCATCTCGATCTCCTCCAGTGCAATGCCCATGATAGACAGCAGGACAATGGCCAGGTCCAGCTGGTTCCACCTGGCCAGTGGAAGGCACACTTCAGTGTGGCTACTACCTCAGGCCCCACCCTAAAACCCACCGGGAAGGTGGGACAGGAGTCTCCTCCCTGGTTGCCAGAGGTCCACCCATACCTGTCCTTGAAGAACCTCCGGAACCCAAAGGCCACCAGTTTTAGCGCGGCCTCAAAGACAAAGACGATGGTGAACACGTAGTTGCAGTACTTGAGGGCCTCGTCCAGTGACTAAGGGCAGAGGGGAAGGCTGGTGGCAGGTCCTCAGCCAGGCTGCCCTTCCCTCATGCCTGCCACCTCCCTACAGGGCCTCCTGTAGTCACACGGCAGTGGCCTAGCTGGCAGGAGTCGCCCTGGGTGTTGGCAGCCAGGTCCCAGTCTCCAGGTAGGCACACAGGGCCCATGCTGCAGTAAAACTGGGGAAGGGTGCCTCCATGGTTCACAGCCCAGCAGCTGCCTGGCCACTGCAGCCCCTCCTGCCCTGCTGACTGGTGGGCCTTGTGAGGCCTGCCACTAAGAGCTTACTATCTGGAGCCGGTATAGGGCCTAGGAGGTGTCACCCTGTGACCCCGAGGGAACCTTCAAGAACAGGAGGAACCCAGGCTCCTGGTCTGTCTCCAGCCTAGGCAGGGGCCCCAGGAGACCCACTATCCCTAGCTGTGCACAAAGTGACATCTTTTAAGGCTAAGCATACTCCCAATGAAAAACTCTGTTCTTTTATGGCCTCAGCCTTCCTCTAGGGAAGGACACATACTAACTAAAGGATGGAGATGCAGATTTAGCAGACTGAAAAGGGCTGTGGCTACCCCCGGCCAGCTTTACTATGTTCCCAGCGATAAGACTTGCAGGCTGGGGAGGAAACTCCCACCAGCCCCTCGGAGTGGAGGTCACTGGAGTTCCCACCCATTTAAAAAGGATCAGTTGATGGAACTGTCCCTCCACACCCCCATGTGCCAGTGTGGGCTCAGTGGGGCCCCCATGCTGGCACAACTCTCCAGTGCCCCTCCCTGGCCGCCAGCACCTTGGGCTGGTTGTAGTGCTCCATGGACATGGTGATGACATTGAGGCCGATGATAAAGGTGATGAAGAGGTCCAGGTAGTGGCTGGTGCACAGTGTGTGGATGGAGCGACGTGTATGAGAGTAGTCGGCGTAGTAGGGTCGGCGCTGAGCCTCTGCAGGGAGAGGGTGGGTCAGTGCACTGGTGGCACCAGGATGTCTCCATCTCTTACCAGGAAGCCAAGGGTGGAGCTCCCATGAGGCTGAAGGAGGAGTTCTTTTAGAAAGCGACCCCACCCTAGCCAAGAGTAAATTCCCTGTGAGGCTATGGGCCAGAAAATGCCTGGTGCCTCAGGCAGGTCAACTTCCCAGACCATGGGTCTAGGTGGCCCCAGGAGGGAAACAGAAGCTTCTGTAGCCTCCCTATATCCCCCTGGTTCCCACCCAGACTCTACCTTCCTGGGGGTTGGGGTAGGCAGCAGGAGGGCTTGGTCCATGCTGTAACCCAGAGACATGAGACTGGGTATGGTGGCCCTCTTTCCTCACCCATCTGGGCCTTGAAGACCCCACTTGAACAGAGATAAAGGTATCAGCCACAACTTCCAGCCCATCCAAGGCTGATGTCACAACAGGACAGTGAGATAGGAGCCTTCCTGGGACACCCCTCACTGTGCACCCATCTAGTGCAGGTTTCTCTGCACTAGACACTGCCTGCAGTATCCACTAGGGAGGCCTGCAGAAGATGATGTGGGCTGCCCATCCCTAGGGCAAGAGACAGAACCAGGCACTCAGGGGCTGAAAACCTAGGACCAGGGAGAGCCAGTGCCAATGGGAAATGACCCACCACCCCGGACCCTCATGCTCCTCGGTCCAGCATGCATCACTAGAGCTTGGCTCAGCTTGGGCAGCCAAAGGAGCCAGCGGCCAGTGCAAAAGACAAAGCATCCAGAGCCAGCAGGAGGAAGGTGGCTCATCCCTGTCCCCGCCCTTGTCCCCTAAGCATGCACACATGCAGGCTGCAGAGTCACACAGGAGCGAGTCAGCAGTAAGGACACCAGCAGGCAGCCTCAGCCATTCCTCCCACCACCCCCACTGCCGCCCATCACCCTGGCACTGTGCCCACCCTGTGGTGGACCCCAGCACCACTAGTGGCACACCCTCCCCGTGCGGTGGCTGGCAGAAGCGGGCTGAGCGTGTGTGCGGGGCATGCGGGCAGCAGGTACCTGGGCTGGGGAAGGTGCCTGGAAAGACAAGGAGATGTCTGAGTGGCCACAGTGAGGGGCAGAGGAGACTCTCAGGCCTGTGCGGGAAGCCCCCTGCCCCTGAGCCACAGCCTGCTCTAGTTCCACAGGGACTTGGACAGACCGGAACTTAGCAGGCAGGAGGCAACTGAGATGCCCCGTCTACCTCTTAGGCCCCCACTGTCCCTCCTGCTAGCCCATTTGTGAGGCTGGCCCATGCAAGGCGCCTGTGCAGAGCCATTCAAGGAGGGACTGCAGGCCCGGCACGGTGCCACCACAGTGCGCACAGGTACCGACCCGCCTCTGCCACCCTGGGCGCCTTACTCCTGCGCTTCCTCTCCATCCTCCGCAGCCGCTTCTCCTCCCGTCTCCGAGCCTCCTCAGCCTCCTGGTGCTGCCGGCACTTGTGGAAGTTCTCTACCACAACACCCACGAACATGTTGAGCACAAAGAAGCTGACGATGAGCAGGAAGGAGATGAAGTACAGCAGCATCCAGGGGTTATGGTTCTGCACAGGCTGTAGCATATAAAGTGGTGGGTATCTGGCCACTGGCTGCCTACTCGCCTGCCTGGGACCTCCTCCAGGCCTGGCTCACAGAGGACCTCATCCTAGTGCTCAGGCTAGATACAGTCACTGCGGATGATCTCTGAGGTAACCCAGCTCAACCCCAGGGACACTGGGCCTTTATTCAAGGTCACCCATGGTGGTGCCCAGCCACGCACCTGTTGGTCAATGCCCACAGCATCCAGCCCATCATACATGATGTTCACCCAGCCATCCTTGGATGACAGCACGAATAGGGACATCAACGCCTGTGGGGTGGGCAGATGTCACTGGTAGGGCTGGGGTCACCACCTGTTCCAAAAGTCCCATTACCACCACCACCTGCTTGCCCACCATGGCTGCCCTACCCACCTGGCCCAGGTTATCAAAGTTATATTTGCGCCGCACCCAGCGGTAGTGGGCAGCCCGGCACTCGGCCTTGGTGGAGATATTCCTGGTGTCGGCGCCCTCACAGAAGTAGAACTTCCCCTTGAAGAGCTGGTGGTAGGGCAAAGCTGTCACCCAGAGCCCAGGCTGAGGCACCCTGCCCTGCCCTAGCCCTGGGCCCAACCAGGCCCGGCCAGTTTTCCCAGTCCAGCTGATCGTGCCCACCTGCACTCCCAGGATGCCAAAGATGATGAAGAAGGCACAGCAAATGAGGACGATGTTCCCAATGGGCCTGAGAGACGATATGAGAGTCTCCACCACCAGTTTGAGGCCTGGAGCCCGGCTGATGACCCTGGAGCCAACAGAGAGGATGTACTGTTGGACCCACTCAAGCAAAGACATGGCAAGTGCAATGACCTCAAGGTGGAACCAAATGGGTGGCAGAGAGAGACTGCACTGCAGGTCCTCTCTGACCCTACGGGGTTCCTCTCTGTTCCACCCACCTCAGAGGCCGCAGGGTCCGCAGCAGCCGCAGCACACGCAGAATGCCTAGAATCTTGGCACCACCAGCTGAGGCCATGGCCACTACGATGTCAACCAGGGACACCAGGACCAGCAGCCCATCTAGCACATTCCAGCTGCTCTGCAGGTATGCATGCTCTCCCCACAACAGGCCTAGGGCTACCACCTGCAGAGAAGGTGTCTATGTACATGGCTTGGCAGGAAGGATCTAGGGTCAGGATAGCCAGGGGCCATGCGGGCAAGATGGGGACCTCAAAAGAGAGGGTGACCGGGACACCTTGGTACCTTCACCATCATCTCGGCCACGAAGATGGCTGTGAAGATGTAGTTGGAAACGCTGAGGAAGGCTCGTTCCTGCAAGAAGAGGCTGATGGGAAGGCTGCACCCGTACAACTTGCTCCCCACCTGGCCAGCTGCCTGAGAAACTCACAGTGCTGCTGGGGTCGATGTCCGGCCTCTCTAGGGCTATGGTGATGCAGTTGAGGAAGATGAAGAGGAGGACCACATGGTCAAACATCTTGTGTGCGATGACTTTCTGGCAGAAGGCGCGCAGCCTGGGGAGGTGACTGAGTCAGCACACCTGGGTGGAGTCCCAGGACAGCTCTGGCTGAGCTGCTGCCTCAGGGGCCCTGTGGCTACCCATGGGAGGCAGGGTGCAGCTGGGCCAATGGGGGCGGGCAATGCCTCACCTGTTCTGCGGGGAGAAGAGGTATAGGGCCCAGGACTCTCGATTGCGGCACCACTGGGGCGTGTAAGGCTCCAGCACCTTGCGTAGGCGGAAGCAGCAGCTCTGGGGGTAAGAGAGGTCCTCAGGGTCTGCATCTCCTTCTCAGGGCAGTGCACCCACATCCTCACCCGCTCCAGCTCATGAGCCTTGTCCTCCCTGCCCAGGTGATGTGCAACCATGCTGGACGTCCACAAGGCTGTGGGGATGCTCCTGGGGGCCTCTCCTACCAAGTACCTCCTGGCTAGTGGTTGACCACCAGGGTAGGGGACATGGGCCCAGAACAGCTGATGTTGGGTGCTATCCTTGGCCAGTCCACTCTTGCTCCTTCAAGTCCCATGAATGACATCCAAGCCCCTGCCTAGGCATGCTTTGGAGAATTGCCCCAAGGCAGGAGGAGTCAGGGTGGTCAGTCTGACCAGGCCCACGGTGCCCATGCACTTACGTCCTCCACATCATCCTCAAGGTCAGCTGTCTCTTCCCTGTGGCTGTCAATGCGCAGGAAGAACTCGCTGGGCAGGGCCACTGTCTGCCCAGGGCAGTCATGGAGCTTGGCAGGCAGGAGGGTGGCCAGCCGTGGGGGCCGCAGGTCCAGAGTGCTGCGGTGGTCCAAGGATTCAGCACGCCGCAGTGGGCGGGTCACCATGCCCAGCCTGCTGTCCTCAGCCTCGTCATCTGTGCTGCCCTTGCCCTCACCGGACAGCAGCGACTCACGTTCCCCACACTGGCTGCGGCGCTTGAGGCTGGGTGCACGGCCCAGGCTGTTCCAGCTTGAGCGTCGGCTGCTCCAGGCGCTGTTGGGGCCCCAGTGGGTACAGGGTGAGCTGCGCAGGCTGGCCTGGAGGGTGAGGGTGTGTGAACAGGCCAGTCATAGGTCTAGGGCTCCCCAGACAGCCATGTCCAGGCTACAGAGCCCTTTCCCATAGACCCCTGTCAGCAGCCATGCCTGGTGTTTACAGAGTACTGGCTGTGCATAGCCATCACCTAGCAAGTATCCTACAGGACACAATGTCTAGGTTGCATCTTCAAGTGACACCTGACAATGCTGGGCACTTGCTCAGTGGGTGACACGGGTGCATCTAGCAAGGGCCAATTGCTGCCGTTTCCTATCACTTATCTCTGGACATGCAGAGAAAAAATTTGTCTCAAGGCGTAAAGTCAGACCCCACCAGGGCTCTTTCCTGAGGGTCTCTGTTTAGACCCTCTGTTGTGACTATCCTGGACTCCTGGGTCCAGAAGAAGCCAAATTTTGCTTTCCACTAGCCTGTCTCTTTCCACCTCTGGGGGACCCTGGCACTGACTGTGATAGAATGTGCTCAGTGACTGGGCCCCAAGGGCTCCCTGTGTACTTTGCATGGCCATGGCTACCTCCCCTCACCCTCTCCCTGTTGTATATCTGGCCCCTGCTGTCCCTCAGCTTGCCTAGTTGGCCAACCTCTACCTCTCTCTCCCTAAGCTCTTCTTGGGAATCTCAGCAGCCAGATCCAGCAGCATCCATGGGGCAAGTGTCCTTCGAATTTATTTTCAACAGACTTGAGCTGCTCTGCTTATGGGTAGGATCCATGAGTCCTCCACTCCACTGTCATTTTGTCTCACAGGTCCTGTTTGGCACAGGTTTTTGCTGGCCTTTTTCTGTTTTACCCTCTGATGTGCTCTGTGCCGGGCCAACTATTATCTTGTCTCACATTTGGCTACTATGAGTGATGGCCCGAGCCCATCTACAGAGCACAGCGCCTTTCCGGTTATGCATAGGGCAAGTGGGACCCTCACTTGCTTCAGGGGAAGAAGGTACTTAAGGCTGGGCAGGAGACAATCCCTACCAGTGACCTCTGGTCTCCCAACTGGGGGTCCACGGAGCCACTGCTGCTGCGCCGTGAGTCCAGGAGGCCGTGGGCTGCATCCAGGTGTGGTGAGCTCCGGGGAGTGGGCATGGGTGTGGCAGCTGTGTGCATGATGAGCGGAGGGGGTAGGCTGCCCCGGCTTTCCAGATGCCCATTGGGGGTCACTGCCAGTGAGTACATCTTCATCTCTGCTAGCAGAAGTCACATGAACCTCTGGGGTCCCAGGAATGGAAACTTGTCCCTCAGGTGTCACCCAGCCAGCCCTACCCACTTTACACACACACACACACACACACACACACACACACACACACACACACCTGTGGCTTGCAGGTCTCTCAACTTGTCAAAATCCTCCTCAAAGCGCGTAGATGTCTTGTCTTCATCTGTGTCTGACCTGTTCGCATCACCCTGCACCCACAAAGCGCAAGGTGAATGTGAGGCCCTGTGGCGTGATTATGTGTGCCTGGCACAGGATGGCAGTTACCACCAGGGCCAGCATGGTGTGCAGAGGGTCTAGCCACCTGCCCAGGCTCCCGCCCTTCCCTGTGCTCCTCACCTCTGCCTGGAAGCCCTCCACCAGGATGGCCACCAGCAGGTTGAAGAGGACATAGTTCCCGAAGGTCATCAGGGCCACGAAGTAGAGGGCAGCCCAGGAGGAGGTAGAGGCCATGCCGTTGTACAGGACCACATTCCAGTCCTCCTGTGTTAGGATCTGGGGGGCGTCCTCGCACTGAGGGGGCTCAGGGCCAAAGGACACCCGCAACCTCCCTGGGGACAAGGTTCACTGTTCCCACTGTCCCCACTGCTCAGGGCTCTAGCCCTGCGGTACCTGGAACACGGTGACAATGGCCCACAGCAGGGAGTCGAAATTTTTCCTATCAGGTACGGTGTCCCCTGTGTCTGTCTTCAGGCTGAACTTGCAGCCAAAAAGGTGCATACCTAGGATACTAGGGCAAGGCAGGCAGTTGAGCTAGAGGGGCCCCGTGGGTAGTGCCCGGGGTCCCTCCTACCCCAGGGCTGAGTTGTCTACTCTGCAAGTAAGAAGACTAAGGCTGGAGGCAGGGTGGCCATTCTGGCTCTGGGAGGTGGCCCGGACCTGGATATCATCTTGAGTCCTTTGAGGCAGAGACCGCCCCTACCATGCCTGGACTGCCCAGCTCACAAAAGCCTGGCCCATTCTCAGAGCTCACCTCATCTCTCTGGGGGCCCCAGGAGAGCACAGTCAGCCTGGGCCCCATTTCCCAGTCTCAGCACACAGAAGGAGCTCACTGACTATGCCTGAGCTGGGGAGCGGTGACAGTTTCTGTGGACACTGCACTCAGGGCCAGTGGGGCGGTCTTCCTCCCCAGGGCTCTTGTCAGACATATCACTTTGCTGCTTACATAACCCCATGTCTACCTATGGCTGACACTCACCTGAAGATGAAGATGAACAGCATGAGCAGCATGCAGAAAGTGGCCACATTGTCCATGGTCTTCATGAGCACCACGAGCTGCCGCCTCAGTGCAGGCAGGAACCGCACCAGCTTCAGCACCCTCAGCAGCCGGAAGGTACGCAGCACTGACAGCCCACCATCTGCCTGCCCCACGATCTCCCAGACACTGCAGGTCAGTGTCAGGGCAAGGGTCAGGGCAGCCTGACCCCTGACCCCACCCTCCTCCTCCCAGATGCAGGATTATCAGCCTGGGAGCCACAGTAGCCTCTGCTAAAGTCTGTAGTAGGGAGCAGGTTCAGCTGTATCAAGATGCCCGAGGGGGTGTAGCAACATCTCAACAGCAGTTTTACGGGCCATTGGTGGTTTCCCAATCCCCCTGGACCCTCAGAAAACCCTAGCTCTGGTCAGATCAAAGAAGCTTCTTCACTGAGGGCCTCTCGGGTCCCGACTTCCATAGCCTTATCTCATTTGCTTGTGCTCAACCCTCTCCCTGCCAGGTGCCAGGCTTCCCCTTGTAAGGATGTTCCTTTGGGGAAAAGGACTCTCTTGAATTCTTCCATCTGTTCTGAGTTGCTTTTGTACAGCGCATACCCCCAGGACCCAGCATGACTCAACTTCCAAAGGACTGGGCCCTGAACAGTTGGGTCTTGAGGCTGGAAGACTGCTGACCACCCCTCTGCTCCTGCACAGAGTGCCATTCTAGATACAGAATGACTAGGGTGCAGGTGACATATGCCTACCCTACTGTGCCCATGGGAGGGATGAGGCCACCAGGACCCCTCCTGCTCCCTATGCACACCATCACTAATGCTCCCTTGTGGGGATGGGTATTTGCCCTCTGTGGTTTCTGCTGGGAGTGGAGCATCTCAGGCTGTCTGGCTAGCCAGGGATGGGACCCACCTGATGACCACAATGATACCATCGAAGATGTTGTAGGGGTTCCGGATGTAGCCCAGTGGGCCGCAAGCCAGCAGCTTCAGCAGCATTTCCAGGGCAAACATGCTGGTGAACACGATGTTGCTGATCTCTAGTGCATTGGTCAGCTCATCAGGCTGCAGGTGGGAAAGGAGTGGTCAGGGGGCCCTGCCCAGGGGGCTCCCACATCTTCTGGACTCTGACCTGTAGTAGGTCTGGCTTCATCAAGGGCCTAAGAGACAGAAGGGCTACACAACATCTCAGGAACCTGGGGAAGAAACCAGGGTCCTAGGATTCACTACCACCCTAGGTCCCCCAGACCCTGCCTCCTTCCTGATTCCTACTGTAATGACTGGGCACAGTGTCTGCTGGAGGCCTCCAGAAATACCCCCTTCCCACCAGCCCCACAGGCACAGGGCTTGAGGCCCAGGGCGAGGTACTCCACCAGAAGCTGTGAGGGTGCAACAGGGTCTCAAAGCAGAGGAAGAACCTTTGACCAGCTATTGGACCTAGCTGCTTCTGGTACTGGCAAGGGCTGAAGAGGGCCTGGTGCGCAGGGCCTGCAGTCCTCAACAGGCCCCACCTGCTCGTGGTACTCGACGCCCATGCTCAGCGTGTTAACGAGGATGGCCACCATGATGCCACGGTTGAAGTACTTGCTGTCCACAATGCGGCGCAGCTTGCCACTGAAGGAGGCCCAGAGCTGGCCCAGTCCACCTGGCTCACAAGAGGCTGCCTGACCCTGTGGTCTCCGCACACTGCCCTGGTTAGGCACATCCACTGCTGAGGGCAGCTGCATGGAGTCCCGGCAGTCATCACGCCGCACATCCTGTGTGAATTCATAGACCCCGTGGACATCCGAGTCCCCACTCTCTGAGCCACTGAACTCAAACTCGGGGTCCTCCAAGGCGTTGGCACAGTACGGGCAGCTCTTCAATGCACAGGTGAGTGTGCCCGCAGGGGGGCTTGGCAGGGAGCAGGGCACATTCAGGCCTGACAAGTGACTGGGGGCCCGGCCCAGGCCTGCAGGAGGGCACAAATGGGTCAGGCTTGCAGTGATACTACACCCAGAATTCCCAGAAACCCATTCCCACACAGGTGAGGGTGCCTTGTCCCAAGGAAGGACCCATTCACATCCTAAACCCAGCCCTTCTAAGTGGGACCTCATGCACAAATAGGGCTTTCACAAAGGCCATCAGTTAGGATGATGTCACCCTAGAGCAGGGAGAGCCTCAAGCAAACAGGTATCCTCCAGGGTGAGGAGAAAGACAGGGAGAGACAATGCTGGCCATCAGGAGCTGGGGGAAGAAGAAGGGTCCCTCTCTGAGCCTGCAGAAGGAATGGTCCCTGCAACACCCTGGCGTGGGACTTCCTGCCTCCAAAACGAAGAGTCAATTCCTGTTGCTCTAGGCCACTCAGTCTGGGGTACTCTGTACAGCAGCCAGAGGATTTGGGGACAGATACATCCACCAGTACATACCTAGGTATATGTACGTACCAGTGCATTATCTCACACAACTGGGAACACACTTGTATATCTATATTCTGGCACATACATACGCACACCTGTGTACTGTCACGCTCAGGCACACATGTGCCCACCTGTATGCTATTTCATATGCCTGGGTGCACACATGTGCACTTGTAGTCACACACCCAGACACACATGTGCACCCAGGCACTCTCATACTTGGGCACATGTGTGTGCATCTGCCTATCTCACACACCAGGGCAAACGTGTACACCCATGGATTCACACTTCTAAGCACAGTGTGCACTTCTGCATTGTCATATACTTACATTGCAGCCATGCACTGTCCCACACACAACCAGACACGCATATGTGCATTTTTACCTAAGTACTCTCACACACATGCCTGGCCACACATATACATTCCTGTGCACTGCCACACACCCAAGCATATATATGCACATCCTTACACTGTCTCACATGCAGTGGACATACACACATCCACCCTACAGTGGCACTCCTATCACACTGGCGTATTACCACTAAAGGGACAGAGACACCTGTGGTGGGGCTGCACCATCCATGAAAACATAACAGTACAGGCTCTTGGTAGGCACCTGCTTGAAACAAGTTAGCCTGACACAGCCACACTGCTATCATCCCCAGAGAACCTGCTGACACTCTGGAGTCTGAGCGTGCTTCACACCAATACCCATGCTGTATTGTGGGCTCTGAGACCACCCCCATAAGCAGTGCATGCTGGAGGAACGTGTGTCCAGAGTATCCTGGCATTCGTATAACGTCTAGTACTGAGGCAGGTAGACCTAGCACATCCCCACCACAGTGGACACACATCCCTGTCCACCATCTTGCACAAGACACAACAGAGCCTCCAAGTTGGCACAGAACTGGACTACCTGGGGATGCTGGAGTCTCCCCTCTATCGCCTGTCCCAGGAGGGCTGATTCTGGGACCCCACTGCATTGGGGTGGCAGCCCTCTCCCCTGAGGGAACTCTGTGACCCTGACTTCTTCTCCCATACCACCCTAGCCTCAGCTTCCACACTTAGAAAAAAGCCAGCTCCTGCGGCCACTAAGGACTCTAAATCCTCAGGATAGGACAAGAACATGGGCACATAGTTCCGCTCTGGCCAGGCAGAGGCCGTGGGAAATGGGCCAGGCACCTTGATAGGCTGTCTGCAGCAGACCAAGAATGCCATCTGCCTGCTCACGTTCTGCTGCACTGGGCTGTCACCTGCCTAGTTCACTACTGGGGGTGGAGGGGTGGAGGTGGGGTCTGCCTTTTCTTCTGATGGTCACAGAGTTGGGGCAGGGGTGGCACTCAGAGCCTTGTCTTGCCCTGGCTTCCCTCTTTATCCTTTGAGGGTGGTGCCAGAGTTCTCACCGTGTTCCCCAACTGCATGCTGGATCTTCTCATAGGGGTCAGGGCTGCCCAGGCTCAGGGGGCTGTGCCCTGCGGCCCCCGGGTTTCCAGCATTCCGTTTTCCCTTGGACCTGGGGCTGGTGCTGCCTTTGCTGGTGCTGCTTTTGCCCATGCCCGAGGGCAAGATGGTAGGGTAGTTCATGGTTCCCAGTCCCGAGGCTAGCTTGAGGCTGGCTGTGGTTGCAGCATGGGCCACCCGTGCCCTCTCCTGGGGCCCTTCCACGTGGCAGTCTGCATGATAGATACTGTGCACAGACTCGGAGTTGGGCGGCCCCTGCCCTGGGGAGGGTGGGCAGGAAGGTATACCAGCCCGGATCAGCCTGGTGTCACTGGGGTCAGGGTTGGGTCTGCGAGGGCCACCATGGCTGAAGTGGTAGTGGTGGTGGTGGTGGTGGTGGTGATGGTAGACCAGGTGGTGCACAGAAGCTGCGCGCCTGCCTGCCTGTCGTTGCCGCTGCCTGGGACCCTGGCCATGCAGGGTGGCACTGGGGTCTGCCTTCTTATGCCAGCGGCTCTGCCAGCGGGCATAGAGGCGCAGGCTACGGCGCTTGACCTTGCGGAAGACATGGCCCATGTACTTGAGCAGCTCCTCGTAGCAACTGCCTGGCTCCGAGAAGCTGGCCAGTGTGCTGTCATTGGACAGGTAGCGGGCACGCTGCTCCCGCATCAGCTGGTTCTCCCGCTGCTTGGTCTCCGAGAACTGAGTGGCAATCACCACCAGGCACAGGTTGATCATGAAGAAGGACCCCACCTGTGGCAGAGTGGGCATGACCACCAGCCTGGCTCCATGCTGAGCTCTCAGCTGTATTCTATGGGGCTGGGATCCAGCCATGATACCATGGTGGGAATGGCCCCCAAGGGACACAGAGCAGATACTTCATAACTGCCTGTGGGACAGGGATCAACCTAGTACCTCCCTCAAGGTTACCATGTAACCTGCCCACCTCTTCAGGTCCATCCTGATATGATACCCCACTGTCCTCTCCCCAGGCCCGAGGGCTGATGTCCTCAGCTGGGGCTGCCATCGACTCCCCTCCATGCACCCCTCCTGTTTGCTGTTGACAACACACATGGTATCCATCTGCCTCTCCCTCCTGGGTCCCCACAGGTGGCTCCCATGCACCCAGGGGCCTGTAAAGCTCTGCTGCTTGATAAACTAACCTGGCCTGGCCTGGGCACCGCAGAGCCATAGGGAGGACCACAAAGGCCACACTGGAGTTTGAAAATGGGCTTTTTCCCTTCCCAGCTTCTCTCCACCCTGCAGCTTCCACCTTCCCTCTCCCATCTACTGGAGGCTGGACAGAAGGCCCTGACCACCCTGGCCTCCAGCCCACCTGCCTGGGCATCCCTGAGTCCCTGTAGCCTCTGCCTGGGCGTGCACAGGGACCCTCATGCAGAGTCTCATCCTCCCCATTACACACTGTATCCCTGGAGCTGAATGCCTGCCCACCTAGCCCAAACTCACGATGATGAGCAGGATGAAGTAGATGAAGTTATAAAACGAGTGGGCGTCCATGACATAGTACATGATGTCTACCCAGCCCTCCAGTGTGATCACCTGCAGAGGAAAGCAATGACTCCAGGACAGAGGCAGATACTATGCTCTCTCTGATGACGGCTCTCTCAAGGGACCCCATTCCATGTTCTCAGTGCCCCACTGTGACAGAGGCCCTGTGGCTTGGTGCCTACCTGGAAGATGGCGATCCAAGCATAGCCGATGTTGTCGAAGCTGATAGCGCCATTGTGGGGGTTGGAGTCCCCTGACCGGCAGACATTGTAGTACTGGTTCCAGTTGATGCAGCCATTGCGGCCAGCACCTGCAGCCTCAGCTGGTGGCTGCCCATATGCCTCCCAGCCTAACGTACACTGCATACGCAGCTCACGGCGACTAGGGATATGTGAGCACTTCTGCATGCCATTGTCACGGCGTGAGGAGCAGATGAAGGGGTTTTCCTCGCCCTCCTCTGGCTGGTAGTATGGCCTCAGGAAGGTCAGGTTGTTGTTCCTGGAATGCCAAGGCTGAGGCTCGGGTGAGGCCACCTACACCCCTCCTTTTCTGCCCAGCTTTGCCTGCCCAGGGCCTACAAGCCTGATTCTGCAGTCACACTGGCCTTTGGAAAGTGACTGCCCTAGTAGAACACCATGTTGTTTCTTACCTGGGCCCTAGCCACCAGGGACAAGCAGATGAAACAGGATGATGAGGGTAATGAGCCCATGGGAGATAACCACAAAGCAGACCCATCCAGCCCCTTAAACCCCAGGAGCCCTGGACCTGCCCGGATGTCCTCTTGTTCCTGCCCTCCTCCCTGACAGCCCCATTCTTTTTTGTTGTTGTTGTTTTTTTGTTTTTTTCTCTGGTACCTGGAACCGAACTCACGGCCTTGCGCTTGCCAGGCAGGCGCTTTTGCCACTGAGCTAAATCCCCAGTCCCTGACAGCCCCATTCTTGAGCCAGCACAGCCTGGTGAGTGGGCCAGGGATCTCCACAGCTTCAGGTCCACTGGTGCCTCCTCCTGGCTCCCTTTTCCAATCCCCACCAATCCACCTCCCCTCCACAAGCTCCCCCCAAAGCCCTGAGACTCTTGGACCCACAGAATAGATGCCACCTCAGTGGGCAGCCAGCTACAAGTGTAAGTGTTTGACTGGGTGCTGGGCACTGGCAGCACTGGGTCATCTGTAGGGCCCGGTAGAGGCAGGTACCTAACAGCACTACAGTCACTATCTAGGGTAACCCCGACAGGCCACCGGCCCCAGGCCACATGAGTCCAGGATAAAAGGGATAAGAGCCACACCCTGTAGCAGGAAGTAGGAATGCAATGTGCACCCCAGGTTGCTCAGCCTGAAAGCTATGAGGGAGCAAGGGCAGACAGGAAGTAGGTATCATGGTCCCATTATTGCTTAGAAATAGGAGGAAGCAGTTGGACAAGTCCCAAATTCCCCTCTAAGTAGACTTCCAGAACCATAGATTCCTAGTGTTAAAGCAGGAGCAACACATGGACCTCCACCCCCGGCTCCACCAGCACCTGTCCTGAAGTATCTGGCTTTGCACCCATATCTCCATCCTCCTGTGCTCCTGGGGACCATCCTGCTGCTGCACACAGGCTCTAGGTATTTCCCACTACTATAGCTTTGTCCTGAGCAGGACCGAATACCTCAACACAGAAGCGCCACAAAGCCCTCCTGGTCATGCCCCTGGGCACATCCCAGACCTCTCAGGGGTCCAGGAGAAGATAGATGAGTAGGGGACCCAGTATAGTGCATGCTGTGGGGTCAGCCCCTGATGCTGGAGTCCATAAAAAACAAACAGGCGGAGAGGAGAGATACACAGAAATAGGGAAGGAGATCCAGGCAGGAAAAGTGAACCCAGAACCCAATTCCCACTATGGACTACAGTCATCTGGCAGAAAGGCTCTGATGGTATGGTCCGCAGGGTGGGAGAAGCCTCACACAGTGGGCATGGCCTGAAGAACCCTGGTAGATGGTGTCCTAGGGAAGAGACTGAAAGCATGGCTTGCACAAAGGGGTAGGGCCTGCACACCTGACAAAAGTGCTATCCAGGAAGCAGCGGTTCCTCAGCAGGCCGGCCCAGAGCTGCACACCCACAATGCCGAAGATGAAGAAGACAAAGAAGCAGAGCAGAAGGACGTTCCCAAGCATGGGCAGCGTGTCCAGGAGCAGGGTAACCAGGATCCGCATGCCTGCGGAGGGAGGGGAGGCAGTCAGCATGCTGACATGGGTCAGGCGAATCTTCTGGTTAGCTGCACAATGCCCCCAACCTCACGTTGTGCATGCCCAAGTGATGCTCCTGGGTCAAAGCTGCAACTAACTGGGCATAGGCCATAGCCCTAGTGAGTGAAGGCAGGGCAGCCCCTGTTCCTTCTAGAGGGGTCAGAGGTAGAAAGGGAGGGGCAGGGCTGAGCACACAGCATCCCTGGGTTTTGTGTGACTAGCAGGGAGACCACTGGCTCCCAATTCCGTATGAGGCCCTAAGGGGAGCAGCAGCCTCAAGGACCCCAGCAAGCAGGGCTCTGAGGCAGGAATGAGGCTTTCTCGGTCCCAGTGGGAACTGTGCTGAGCAGAACCACAGTTCCATTCCAAGGGGATGTAAGAGCAGGCTGTGGCTTCTTAAGGCAGTTTTGAAGCCTGTGCTCTGTGCAGTTGGATGTGTGCACTTGAGCAAATTCAGGAAGCAAGTTGGCCACGGCCAAGTGCTCCTGGCTTTGTCCTGGGCCTGCCTGTCCCCGGCCTTCAGGAAAGGTAAAGCTCTGTTTTTCAGAACCCAAGGAGGACCAGGCTAATGCTGCAGGCAGAGCCTGGGCCAGAGGGCCAGGTACAAGAGGGTTCCAAGGTTTTATGGAGCCCTTGAGAGTGGCAATGGCAGACTGGGCCCACAGGTCACAGGGGAGTCCAAGCCGGAGGGACAATGAAGTCTCAGACACAGAGAAAGGAAGCAAGTCACAGGAGATGGACAATGAGCAAGCTCTGTCTTAGCTACACCCACAGGCTCCAAAGGTCAGAGTGGGCCCAAGAAACAGGAAGATGCACCCCTGAACTATCCTAGGGCTCCTCATGGGAGCTAGGGTGCAGCCTGGTGGAGCCCTGTTTGGGGCAGGAGTATGTATATTTAATCTGTCACCTTACTGCTCTCATAGGCAGGAGCACGTGGAAGGGCCATTGGCTCTGTTGACAAGACTGAACATGAAGAGGATGCCAGGCAGGGCCGAGTCACATGTGCATCCCTTCACTGCCATCCTTGGAAGAACCAGTTGTTCACTGTTAAAGCAGGAAACTGGGCCCCAAGGGGTTCACTAACTTGTCTCAGGTCATACAATACAGCATTTGAGCCCAACCTGACTGTGGGGATTAGAGCCAGGCAGGAAGGTGGAAGGCTGGCATGTGGTCTGGCTGTCGTTCACAGCTTGGGGGCTGTGAACAAGCTTGTGTGACAAGACTCCCAGGATCCAGGTCAGGCAGCCAAAAGGCACGAGCACATCACATATGGGCCCAAGGAGCCACACCTGCACAGGTGCCACATACCTGCTCTGCCTTGAGGTCTGGCATCCCCACCCCAACACTGAGTACTATGAAGTGAAACCCTAAACCATTCCCAGTGGAAAGCTATTGTCCAGACACAGCCACATGATTCCTTAAGTCTTCCCTGTGGCAGGAACAGGCACAGCGGGGCCCCCTCAGCCCTCTTTACAGCTACTGGCAGAGGCCTGGAGTTCTCTCTACAGGTGTGGATGCTTGGGCAGGGCTCAGCCACAAGGACCAGGTGCTACACTGGTATGTGCTACTGGGCCAGCACACCAGGCTCCTCTTCCCAGGCTGGGTCCTGCTCTGGGACAGAGGTCTTCTTGTTCCACTCCCCATGAGAAGGACAGGTTACACAGAGGACAGCTGAGCCCACTCCCACACGTGTCTATACCACCCTCAGGCCACGCTGGGACTGCCAGTCAATAAAGCCACCTGCAACCTGTTCAGCTCCCAGCCTTGCCCCAGATGCTGCGTAGAGGAGGAACCTGAGTCTATGGCCATACCACCCTGAACGCGCCCGATCTCATCTGATCTTGGAAGCTAAGCAGGGTTGGGCCTGGTTAGTACTTGGATGGGAGGAAGAATCTGAGATTTAGAATGATTCCTGTCACTCAGCACTGGACCCTTTACATTTTGGCTGTCCTTCACACCTCAGCTTGGATCTCCCTGGAAAGAAGCTAAGTCCTCCAGGACCCAGGCCAGCAGCACATGTGATCTCTGGTCCCCCTTCTTCCCTTGTACCAGGGCCTGAGCTCGGCAGAGGGACCTGGAGCTATCACCTCCCAGTCCTGGGCCCAGGGTTTCCCATAAGGCTCCAAAGGATACACATCTGGTTCAATCAAGGGGTGGCAGACACTTACTTGGCACACGGTTGATGGCACGGAGTGGCCGTAGCACGCGCACAGTGCGGATGGCTGAGAGGCTCACGTTGTGTCCGTCCAGGGAATACTCCATCATGCTGGGGAAGGGGAGGCTCAAGGGAGGCGCTGCAGGAGGAGCCATGCCCCACAGGGCTGGCACCTCAGGGCCCCATGAGTACTGATCCACAGGTTACCCATATCCCTCTTGTGATGTACTACACTTGTAGACACCTTTCTCCCACTCTCCTGCCCACCAAAGGCCAAGCTGGGCACCTCGGCTCTCTTTACAGCTATGTCTCAGATCTGTGCCTCCTCCCTCCCTGAGGGGACTGGGGAAAGCTCTCCTGAGTGCAACCAGGCACCCCACCATACCCAGCCATGACAATGAAGAAGTCCAGCCTGTTCCAGGTATCACCTAGATAGCACTTCTGCCCAAACAGCCCGAGGGCTACCATCTTGATAACCATCTCCACAGCAAAGAAGGCAAAGATGAAGTCATCAAAGGCCTGGTGGGAGGAGAGGTGTGAGGGTATAAATCAGGGCAGGAAGGAGCCCCCACTCCACCCAAGGCCCCGCGCACCAGAAATCCACCCAGCCCTACCCAAAGCCCCCAACCAGGTTGAGGCCCTGTCCCTGCCCACCCCACCTCCAAGATGCTGCAGCGCTCAGAGCGGCAGGCGACGTCCTCACAGGGCCGGAACATGCCCAGGGTCACACAGTTGAGCATGATGACCAGCATGCTGACGTGCTCGAACCATGTGCACACGTTAAGGACCACATTCTGTAAACACCCCACCTCTCAGATCGGGACCCCAGTATCCATCCATCAGGCCACCTGGGTGCACCCTCACCCAGGCATGCTTGGGAGGCCTCAGGGCAAGGACGCTGTCCTTCTGAAGGCAGCCACCAGGTGGTGCTATGGTGTGCCTCCTACCATACCCTCTCCCTCCTCACCAGGCCTACTCTGCAGTCTTAAGGCTGGGGAAGGGGAGTTTGCCTGCCCTGACCATCCCAGCGGCCCAACAAGTAGCCCACAGTAGCTGTAGCAGTAGCAGTAGCCCACACTGGTTGTTATCCCTGTGGCCTAATGGGGGTCTCATCGAGGCACCCTATGCAGTACCCCACACAGAACCATCCCACCTCTGGCCTGCAGCCAAGAGGTAAAAAGAGGGTGGAGACCAGACTAGCAAGAGTGACCTTACTTAAAGAGATTTTGGTAGTGTACGCTCATAATCCCAGCACTCTGGGAGGCTGAGGCAGGAGGATTCCAAATTTGAGCCTAACCTGGGTAACAATGACTTAGGGAGACCTTGTCTCAAGAAAAGGGTTGGGGGTGTAGGTTAGTATGAAGACTCTGGGTTAAATCCCTAGTAAAGCACACTCTCATGTGTGTGCCCAAGTACATGAAGGAGAAATGGAAAAAAGGGCAGAAGGAGGTTGGTGGAAGGACTCAGCCTTTGGAACCAGCCATGGAAGTTAAAGCCTGATGGTAGCACCCTGACCCCACACCACAGGGACTAGGAGCAACAGGGATGGGTGGCCCACCCTCACACCACGCCAGGCTCTAGACTGTGGCCCAGGGTTCAAATTTTCTGCTCAAAGTCACCTACCTCTGAGCCTCAGTGCCCTGCAGCCCTCACCATCCCCTCAGAGGTTGCTCTGGGGATTAAGGTGATGGTGATTAGCAGCCACACAGAGCTCCTCCTGCACAAGTCAAAAGCCAGTGATGCTCAGAGAAGGCATGTAGGAGCCCTGGGCATTAGGGCTGTACGCACTGCCAGGGCTGTGATCCCAGCCCTGAGGAACAAGTGGAGGATAATCCCAGAAGGTTCAGGCCCCAAGAGGTAGACGGCTTCCCTGCCCACCAGACTAGGCTCAGACCCAAGCAGGGGGAAGCAAGGTCACCCTCCCGTATGACCCCTCCCAAGGACCCACTCACCAGTCCCTGACTTACCTTTGCTTCTTTGGAACCAGGCCCCCAGCCCATGGTGGAGCCTTGCATGGTGGCTCCAAGCCACCACTGTAATTACACGTTCCTGCCGAGTGCGTCGTAATTACACTTAATGGGTTCAGCAGTAACAAGTGCCTCTGTCATAATGGGGCTGCAGAAAACAGAAATCAGCCTCCCACTAGGGCAGCTCACATCTTCATCCTTGTACTGCAGAGCCCTCCTGCCTGCACCTGCCCCCACTTCATTCAGGGGAGACTACGGCTCCAGACAGCACCACAGGACACCCACCTGTGCCTGGGCTCACTGATGACATGACGGAGGACTCTGGTGCCTGCAGGGTCCCCAGCATTTTGGCCTCCCCTGGCCTCCAGATTCTGTGCTGGCTGCAGGTCCAGGCAGCCAGGCTGTGGCTCCTGTCTTCCCTGGACACTTTTGTCCTGTGACTGCTATGCATGCCCTCTGTGGCTGGGGGGGCGCACTGTCATCTCCCAGGGGTGTCCAGGGTTAAACAGAGCAGGCTAGGGTGGAGGCATGGTTTGTTGGGAAGGTCAGCATAGGCAGAGGGACAGTATGGCATGGGACTGGGCAAGAACCAACAGGGGCAGACAAGACGGGTCTGAGAGTTGCCCCCTGGTCTAAGATCATGCTCCATCTGGCTGAACTCTTATTCTTGCAGGGCACTGCTTTCCCTGCAAGGGAGGTTCTGGGTGGGTCTAGGTCCAGGGAGAAGAGAAAGGTATAGGCATTTCTGAATCTCATGGAGGTTCAGAGAGGGGTTCAGGGGTTACCACCTGTTGCATGGGATGGGAACTGTATCTCTGGAACTGGGACCCTATTCTTCTTACCAAGATCTCCCCCAACCCTCGCCTCCAGCCCACCCTGACAGCCCACTCCCATGTCTCCAGTCTGCTGCCTGTGTTCTCCCAGGCCTGCCCCATGTCCACTGAGAGACATACAGGTGTATTCCCTCTCACCTGGCTGACCTGCTCTGAAGGTCTCCAGCACAAGTCATTCAGCCACCTGTCAACCCCCAGCCATTACTAAGACTACAATGTAGCATTCCTTGATGCTGAGGGGAAACCAGAGGACCAAGGGGGAGCATGAGGGGAGGCTTGGAGGGAACCTGCCCAGGACTTTGGCTCTAACAGTGGAGCAGATTATGCCTGTGCCACTACCTTGACAAGTGCCCACATCCTCCCCACATACCAAGATGGGCTGGCAAGGCTGGGGCTGCTCCCCAGCTGGTGCCACAACAATGCTCTTCAAAGATAATCTGGCTCCAGGCTCCAGGGCCAAGTCCTAGCTCTCCTCTGCTATGCCACCTGAAACCTCAGCCCTGGAAGTCGATTCCAAGAGGGTAGCGGCTACCCTGACCAGGCATCTTCTGGGGACCAGGGGCTCCAGCAAGAACCTGAGCTGAGAGTCACCCCAAATGCAAACTGCCAGCAGGCTCTCGCACATGCAGATACATCCCACTGTGGTAGTGACAAAAAGTCATCTGTAACCCATCGTGCTTCAGACACCAGCCCATCCTGGCTGGGTACCAGTAGCCCCAAATGCACAGAGACATTAACATTCTCCCCAAGGCCACATAGTCAGGATGCTTAGCTAAGACCTGAATCTGGAGTTGGCCCACAACAAATCCTTAGCCTCCCATTCCCCAGCATCCTACACTGAGACTCCCACCAAAAGAAGCTCTAGAGAGCACCCTCATACACACACAGATCCCATTCCTGGGCCTATCAATGAGAGTCCAGGGGGATAAGGGAGTGACTAGTAGTTCGAGGAGACTCCCTCAACAAAGCCTACAAAAGGCATGTGTGTCAGAGACCAGCATCCCCCTAGAAAGGACAGCCCACCTACTCAAGGCGATCATGCTCATGTTCTGTGGGCAGCTGAGGACAAAGGCTGCCAACCAGCACCATCACACAAAGTCTGGTAACACCCAAAAGTTTAGTTACACAAACGAATTTTCTGTGCTTTAATTAAAATTCCTTTAGGTTTTAAACCAAATTCTACAAATTAGAATCACTGGTCAGCGGAAGTCAGGCTGATGTGCAGACAGGAGACAGTGCTAGAGGAATGATCAAGGTACTCAGGTGGGGTTGCAGGCCTGGGTCCCTCCTAGAAGACTAAGGTGGCCTCTCCTGTGGGCTCCCCCAGGGTTTGAAGCTGGTGAACAGTGAAGAATTGAGAAACAAGCTCAGAGAGGCACTGGGAAGGAGCCCCAGGTGGTCATGTGGTGAGGGAACCCATTAGGCACAGTGCCCACCCTGTTGCCCCCTACTCCACACAACTCATAGGGCATCCTGTTGGCCTGGACAGCCTCCTCCCTACTCTGCTTCTTCTCATCGGTAGGGTCAGCACCTCTTCACACTACCAAGGTCCTACCCAGACTCTGGTTCTGCAGTCTCTCTGGGGACAGAGACCTTTTCTCAGACCCTCAGGAGTGCTGGAACAAAGGTATCTAGCCCAGCTTTCTTTCTGTGACAGGAAGGGGCCCATCCACTAGCCCATAAAGGCCTATGCTGAAGTCCATGGAAGTATTTGCAGATCTCTCAGGTTACCACAGGGGTACTTTCCAAGGGGCGTGGCTCCATGTACCCCAAACACCCCAAATGTGGCCCCTTGGACGGGCATGGTGGCACACACCTGTAATCCTAGCTACTCAGCGAGGGTGAGGCAGAAGGCTCACAAATTCGAGCCTAGTCTGAGTGACATCAAGATCCTGTCTCAACAATTTTAAAGGGGTGGGTGGGGATGCAGTTCCATATAAAGCCCTGGGTTCAATCCCCAGTACTTAAAAAAGATAGAAAAAGCAACCCCAAGCCAGTGTGGTGGCCTATGCCTGTAATCCCAACACTGAAGGAGTTGAGGGAGGCTGAGGCAAGAAGATTGCAAATTCCAGAGTTTAAATCACACCTGGGTAACTTAGCAAGACCCAGTCTCTAAATAAAATAAAATAAAATTTTAAAAGTAAGTAAGTAAATGGTTGGAGATGTAGCTCAATAGCACAGTTCACGTGGGTTCACTCTCCAGTACCTCAAAACAAAACCCAAAATCAAGCAGCCTCGCAAGGGCCACAGGACGCACCCACTGCAGGTGCTGTCCATGGTGCTGAAGCAGCCGTCCTGCTGGAGGATGGAGCTGGGGAAAAGAGTAAGTCTTGGGGGAGGGGCAGGAGGGGTGTCTGAGAACCACAATGGCTTCTACCCTCACTGAGCACAGCAGGGTAGCTTCTAGTAAACCACTGTACCCATCTAAACTTTCTCACTCGGGGAGTCTAGAGGATAACCCACAGAACCACAACGGGTTGTCCCAGAGGACCTGCCTGTAAAGAGGACAATGACCTTTATAACTTGTCTTGGGTCCAGGTGCAGGAGCCCAGAAGCTGCATGCTTTTCTGCTGGGTGACAAACCCAGGAGGACACCAGCATCCTTGCACCAAGGCCACCTAGGGCCTGGTGGGCAGGGACTTCTACTATGCAACAGAGCCAAAAGGGCCCCAGAGACCATGCTGTCCAATGGAGGGGGCAGAGGCCCTTGAACAGACCTGCATGGTTGTGGACCATCCAAACCTCAAGTGTTCCTTATCTATATGAAGCTCAGTATTTATAGCCCTCTAGCTGCAGTGATATCCCCACGATGGAGTTGGGGAACAGGAGTCTGACCCTGAGTCTATGCTATAGGCCTTTAGCCTCTCTAAGCCTCAGTCTCCCCATATGTACTGTGAGGGTCATTAACACTTTCTCTTCCAGGCACTGAGGGGGCTCATGTAGATCTCTCTGGACAGCAACCCAGAGGTCCTTGAATTCTCCTGTTGTGGGTTTGGGTCATCACTCCTCCTCCACACTGAGGCATCTGTTTGCAGGGCAAGGATATCTCCACAAAAGGTCAGGACAGAGTGCTGCTGTCCCTCACTTAAATGGTCAGGGGCACACTGGCTGCAGATCCTCAGACCAAGGCCATGTTGCAGGGATGAGAGTTGGGGGACCCAGGGGTGGCTTCTTCCCTGCCCCTCAAGACTAGAGTGGGCCCAAGGGACTCAGGGTAGGGCTCCTGCTGGTCTGTATCGTGAAATCAGGGTGGATGCCACAAAGTCCTGCTGCTGGGAGTATCACAAGGTTCCAAGCCACCCTATCCATGCCCACTGGCCTCAGGGCATCTGCTCAGCCAGCTGCGCTCCTTTACACCAAATTCACAACAGCTTGGTGTGTGAGACCCAAGCCAGGGTGAGGAAGAGCTGGCGAGTCCAGGGCAAAGTGGCCCAGCCCCACACCACACTCATATTGCCTGTCACAAGGGTCACATGCCCGGCTCTGTAGCTCCGCTCTCCTGATGGACACCTGGTTCGGCCAAGTCTTGCCTGCCCTGGGGAGGGAGGGGCTGCCCCTCCCTGCTTGCTCTGCAGTCTGGAGCCTGCATGCCACCCACATGCAACGCTTGGTGCTTGCTCTTGTCCTTGTCAGGGGCACTCAACCTTACTCTTTCAATTTGCTCAAGAAGAAAGGCACATGTTTATTCACAGGGGAATGCCTTTCTGCAGAGAGGACAGCAGCCCAGCATGAAGCCAGGGCACCTGTCAGCCCAAGTACATCTGAGCAGGTCCTCATACCTTTTGCCACAGGATGACAGCTTTAGGTCCTATGTCAACCCATACAGGGTCTGGCTGTCACCCTCCCTGGGCACAGCTTTCCACTACCCACCTAGGACTGGGACAGTCTCAAAGTGCCACTGAGCCCATGGGACTGTGGGCACTGATCCCCTATGTCTGCCCAGCCATGGAGATCAGGGAGGCTTGGTGGTGATGACCAAGCACCAGGACACAGTATGTAGAGAAAAGGTGAAACGGCAATTATTCCCAAGGGTGGCTATGGGTGGCCACAGAGTATGGCATTGTTGCTCAGGGACACATTTAAAGTGGGACAGATGATGATACCTAGAACACATGAGGCATGACTGCCAAGTTGAGGAAGGTGTGCAGCCCCATTGATGCAGAACCACCACAACACAAAACCCTTCCTGAGGGATGTGCACTCTCACATGTACACCAGGGTGCAGATAAGGATGCTACATGTCCATGAAGATGTGAGTGGAGAGTGCCAGGTGGGGGAATGTGTTGAGACAAACAGGAAACTTGTATTGTCCACACATCCATGGTGGTGCTGATCACAACACCTCCAGGTACAGACAGCTCAAATGTCCATCAATAGACATACGGTCCACCATAAGATGAAATATTACTCAGCCTTGAAAAGGAGGCGGCCTAAGACCTTCCCTAGCTCTCAGAATATAAAGCTGCATGGGAAACTAGACATGAAAGGCCTCATATTGTGTGACTCTGCCTCTGTGAGCCATCTAGAAGGGGCAGATTCACAGAGACAGAGCAGATGGCAGACTACTGGGGGCTGGAAAGTGAGCCCTAATCGGGAAGAGTTCCCTTTGCGAAGCCAGAAATGCTATGGAGCTGGGAGCTGGGGCTGGCATAACACTGCAAACACTAACCACCACTGAACCACTGACTTTAAAATGGCTAATTTCATGGTATGTGAACCACAATTCAACAATCACTGCACTCCGTGTATCAAGCTTTTTCACTTGAACTATAGCTCTGCCTGACTGTAGCTCTAGCTACCTGCCAGGCCCCAAGCTCCATAAGGATCAAGAACGACTGACTCAGTAACCAGGCAGGTGTGGGGGACGGGCCCCTCCATCTGCCATGCGGCTCTCCAGGGGCCGCAGCACTCCAACTCATGCAAGCTGCCTATAGGGCTGTTGTACCCCAGCACATACACACTCAGGTCCTCCTTGCAGCCTCGTGATAATGCCAGGCCCTGCCCCTGCCCTGCCCCTGCCAGGTGGTGGGGGGAGGTGGAGCAGCACTTTGTACAAAGCTAGGACCCAGAGGCCAGCAATGATGCCACCTCAGACTCTAGGTGAAGAAGGGTGCAGGACCTGGGGTAGAAGGCACATTCTGGGTTGGGGGGTCCCTGGGACATGGAGCCTATAGGTGCCTCCAAAGGCAGGAAAGCTTCTACGTGAGGTGCAGAGGCACACCTGCCGTGGGCTGCTGGCCCCATTAACCCCAACTCGGGCCAGGGTTGATGTCCAGTGGAGTGGCGGTGGGAGTCCGGACTTGGTGACCTCCAAGGGCACCTGTCTCCCACTGCTGTGGGCAGGATCTGCTCCTGGTTCTGAGGCTCTAGAGGGGCACCCACTGGAAAGGTAGCTTGGAGGAGAGGCTCTGGAGCCCTGGAACTAAACCATCCCCAGGCAGAGATTATACCTCATGGCCTGCAAGGTACAGAGGGTACACAATACGGGGTCAGTATCTATCTTGTGGCCAGATGGACCCAAGGGTCCAGGCAGAGTCCCCCTGAACCTTGTACCCCAGTCTGGGGCTGGTAGGGTGGCCACTGGCATGCAGCCCAGGTAATTAGGACAGCTACCCCAAGTATACCCCTGGCTGATCAACTGGTTGGTGAGGTTAACAAGTTAAGATTCCCTCTGCTGTACTGGTCATCTGGGGCAGAGTATTTGCAGATTCAGGTGTCCCAGCACTGGGTAAGAGATCTACTATGGGCTGACACACCAGCACACAAGAAGTTGTGTGCATACCTGTGGTCTCAAATACTCACCCCTGCTGGGGTCTGTCCCAGCAGTGTTGGGGGATCAGGCACTCCAACCTCTTATCCTCCTTTGACTGCCTACCCCAACCCCAGGGGACTTACTCTCTCACCCTCCAAAGCCCCAGGGAGCTTATTCATCCCCACAGCCTCCACCTCTCTCCACTCCTCAGGACTCCAGAACTGTCTCCAGCCCCACCTGCTTGGTACAAACTGCCACACAGCAGGCCCACCACCCATGATATACTGGGGACATTCCATCCTCTTGTCAGAGCTGCCCACAGCATCTGCCCCTAGAATAAAGAGCTAAGGTACTCTCCTGCCCCAAACTCTGCTGTGGCTCCCCAGTGACCTGGACACAAAAGTCCCAAGTACAGCCCTCTGTAGTCTGAACTCATCCAGCCCTGGCTGCTTCAAGGTCCCAACTCTCTGCTCCTCCCTAGAGTGGCCTCCCCAGCAGCCTGAGCCATCATGGTTCTATGTAAGTAACCATGAATGCCTCATTTGAGCACAGGGCCCTCCCTGCCAACACTGGAGCCCCTAGTTACCACACACCAGTCAGGGAGATCCTGAGAGGAGGCTGTAGCTGTATAGCCCTGAAGGGCAGTAAGCTGTTCTTAGTGGGACAGGAGAGGATGCTGGGTAGAGCCTGGCCTGTCAACGGTGGACATCCTTCCAGAACGGTGGACATCCTTCCAGGAGGGCTGAGTGTGCTCTTCCATCTCCACAGGCTCCTTTAAGATGGGCAGGATGGAGCAGCATAGCTGAGATTAGCTTGAAAGAAGGGGGTTCCAAAGGGGGAGGGGCCAGGTCCATCAGGATTCCTAGAAGGAGCCCCAGGCTTGCCCACTTGTCCTTTCAGCTCCCTTTCATCCTCCCTTCCTCTAGATGCCTGAGTCATTAGGGCAGGACTGAGGCTAGGCAGGACTGAGGCTAGGCCTTGACTTTGGGCCAGGCCTAGCCCATTCTGACCTCAGGGCCTGGACAAAACCCCCAGGCCCAATTCCATGTCCTACCATGACCTAAAGTAGGCCCCAGCCTTGCAGGAGATGATCAAAACTCCAGACCTGCAAGACATGACAGTGCCCAGGTAACTTTCAGCACCAAGACCCTAAAGCCCTGTGGATATCTATCCTAGAATGCAGAGATGAATGAAACGTCTCTTCCCTTCCCTGAGGCTGTTGCCATGGCAACAATCTGCTGACAAGGTGAGGAGGAACCTGGGAGCTGAAGATGGGTGGAGGGGATCCCCAGACACTCTGGGTCACAGCCAGAATCCTCAGAGTTTTAACTAGGGGAAGGTGCACACAGAGGACCAGTCTGTGTTTGGAAAGGGGTGGGCAGTTGGGAGGGACAGATTTATGTGGCCCTGTACAAGTCATCAGAAGACGTGCCCCGTTACTAGAGAGCACTTCTGCACATCACCCTGGCTGAGGTGACAGCTCCATGTCCCCCCAGTTGTCCTCACCTTGGGGACAGGACTGCCTTACTGTGCTATCCTGACCCTGCTCTGGGCCAGCTGGCCAAGTCCAGAACTTCCTGTAAGCCAATCACTTGGCACCAAGGTACAGATCCACTAATTCGGTGGGGGGGGACAGCCAGCAGTACTTCACCCATCACTCCCACCTCAGGGCCTGGCAGCTTACCAAGGTCACTCTCACACATGCCTTTATCAATCCAGGAAGTTCGGGTGTACAGGGGTCAGACTCACAGGCCTGCCTGCCTGAGGACTCCACAGCCAAGGCCCCCACAGGGTGCTCTTCAGGCTTGGTAGGCTGGTGGTGCATCAATGCAAACAGTTACCTGTTCCCATCAAGGAAATGCTCCATGAAGCTCAGGATCTGGCCCAGGGGTGTTCTTGCCAGTACCCACCTCTCCTGGTGGTTTGGGGCACTCATAACCTGTCCCATCCTCTCCCCACTGCCCTCCCTTGCCACCTCAGCCAAACTTGCTTCTTGCTCAAAGCTTCCATTCTGGAGTCTCTGACTCTACACCCCACACTATGCCTGGCCCAGGGAGCGTGGCCTGCAAGCCAGCGCCCAGCCTGCATGACTCACGCTCAGCTCTTGGAGCTGGGGGTGGGGGTGGGGAACAAGGGGAGCCAGCCAAACATGGAGCTGTTTGTTCTCCAGAGGCTTGGGTCAGAGGGGGAAGGGGGGCTGGGCTGCTGTGGGAAAGCACCTCCAGCTGAGGGACAGAAGATCACCCCACCAATGACCGGCCACAGCTGCCAGAACATTCTCCTCCCTAGCTTCTCTTTATGCCAGTGACCTCCAGAGACTTGCATACCACATCCCTCTCCCTCCACATCAGGCTGGTATCCTGGTGGGCTGTGGCCTCCTCTAACCCTAACCCCAACCTTGAGCAGCATATGAGAAATGCCCTGCCCAGCCTGGGTGGTCATCATGCTGACCTTCATCCTGGCTGCAGTGCGCAGGGAGGGTGAGGAGCCCCCAGACTCCAGCCAGGTAGGCCCTGCATATGTCCTCTCTGTTCCTGTGTGCATACACACGCTTCCAGTTCTTCAAAAAATGGCAGGATCTGGGCTCTTCTCAGGAGGTAGCCCCTATCCTCAGGGAAACAAGAAAGGTTTGCTCAGCAACATCCTGCAGCACATGCCCATGGTTCCCGCTAACTGGGCTCAATTTTTAAAACCAGGCTAATTAAGAAGAGTGCTAATGCCTCTGCTTAGCTCCTAATAAAGTGCTTGTTTTGGGATCTTTTCAAGGGATAATTGAGTGGAAAAGTGCTTTATGCCCAGCTCATCACCACGCCCGCACGAAGGCAGGCGGTGCGGGCAGAGAAGCAGCACTGACACCCTGCCAGCCACTTGGTGGCAGCATGCAGCAATGCCAGCAGGGACCAGGGGGGCCACAGCTCCCCAGGAATGTTCTATGTGAAAGTGGAGCCAGCCCCAATCCTGTTGCTCTCCCAAATTTCCAGATACTTGTTGTTGATCTCCGTGTCACAACTCTGGCCCGGTGCCTGCAGGGTGCAGTGAGGGCTCCCCCCTCTCAGCAGGCTTAGCAGACTTGTCTTGGCAGCAGAAGGCAGGATCTCCTTCCCGGCCACATCCCTACCCATAGTGGGTTCTGCACACCCCCAGGCCCTGGAGGGTCCTGGGAGGGAAAGATGGGAACAGAAGGAACAGAGCAGGACCCTGGGGAAGGTGGCTGCTTGCCCATGGACAGGCCCTCGGGGCTGGCGCTGCCAGAAATAACTGCCTGAGCACCACTGCACAGCTGTCTGTGGCCCAAATTAGCACCTCTAGGGGACTGGGCGCTCCTTCCATGGGAACGGGACCTGGAGCTCCCCTGCCAGCCTCACCCTCCAATCCGGCCAGGGAGCTGATAAGACAACTGGGCAAGCCATCTGGATGCATCTGTCCAGGAGTGTCTGGGACTGCAGGCTAAGCCAGAGCCCCACGCAGTACAGCCTAGATGTAGCAGAAAGGTCACAAGGCCCATCTGGTCTCTCACTGCTCCAGTCCTTAGCCTTCTCCAACCTGCAGCTTGGTCCACCCCGACCCAAGCCTCAACTTTGTCCTTGTCCTCCTCTTCCCCATCCCACACCACACAGCAGCAACCAGAGACGACCCTGCATTCAGGCAAGTCAAAGCTAGGAGTGGCTATCACAGCCCTTCCTATGTGCTGCCTGGCCATTCAGCACTCTACTGCTGACCCTATGCCACACTGAGGGTCAGGGGGCACTTACAAGCATGGTCTAGCCCCTCCTCACCTGGCAGCCTGAGCACCCGGTTCCCCACACACTGCTGGTGACCTCTGGTCTCAGCTGCTGCACACAAACCCCACTTATGCTCGACACAGGCAGGTATATGAACAGGTATGTTGGGTAGCTGGCAGTGTCCCACACAGCCTGCTCCCCACTGGCACTGCCTGAAAACTGGGTTATTTTAGAAGGCAACCTTGCGGCAGCCTTCACCAGCTGCCCCTCCCAACTGTCAGTTGTCCAGCTCCCACATACAGGGCCCTCACATGCCCTTCTCATGATCTCACGGTGCTAGTGAAGAGGCACACATCTGGAGAGGGGTTAAGGTCCATGCACTGACCATTACCCAGTAGACCCTCATGGCAGAGTCTAGATTGCAGCAGTAACCCTGGCTGGCGGGGTCAGCCCGTCTGGGGTGCTGCTCACTACCTGGAGAGGCCTAGGCCTGGGCAGCATGCAGAGGGCTGAGGGGTGCCCCCACAGAATCACAGGCCCAGTGGAAGATCCCACCCCAATGGGCAGCATCTAAAACCTTCTAGAATGAATCCCAGGCACCGGGAGAGTGAAGTTGTAGCTTGACTTCCTAAGCAACCCCGGATTACACTGGCTGCCAGAAGACACAAACTAGACCTAACCTCCTCTGGGCCTTCTACTCAAGGTCAAGCCCTAGAAGCCTCCTTGGCCCCAAGGAACCCCTTCCCCTCTATGTCTGCCACTCTTAGGTTCAGATTGGTCACTATAACCCTCATCTGCCTGAATGGACTATGACTTACTAGAACTGCCACAGGGCTGCTGCATGGTCCCTTCCACAGAGGGACATGCAGAGTCCCCAGAGGAGAAAGTTCTCAGTGCTATAGAAGTTGAGAACCAGGCAGGATCTGTCTCCCCGGGCATCTCTTCTCAGAACTTAGGGAAACCGATGCGGACCCTGACCCAGCACCCCAGATCCTAGGCAGTCTCCCTATGCCCCTCTCTCTGGACCCCAAAGGCTACTCTGGCTGTGAAGGCTGAATTTGGTGTTTTCCGGCCTTGGCCCTGTCCTCGCTCTGCCAGCCATGTTACTAGTAGTGGTGACATTTTCAAAGGCTGGACCATACCCTCAGAAAGCCCAGCTTCAAACTGAAACTGGCTGGACTTGGATTCCCCAAGGCCACTGCCCCCTCAAGGCCAGGTCCCCCACCACTGGGGCCTCAGCCCTGGCCTGACATTTACACACTGCAGCCGCCACATCCTCAAAGACTCTGTCTAAAGTTCAGGGCCTCAGGTCTTGCTTGAGCCATGCTCTGCTAAAGCCACCACGTACGCGGCTGAGAGTGTTGTGCAGGCACTGAATCTACTGGACCTGGTTGGCTGGCCAGCAGATCAGTGTCTCACATGCCCATCTCAGGTGCAAAGGTCCTGTCCTGACCAGACAGTGGCAGAGTAAAAGTGATCTGGAGAAGTCTAGCACCCTCAGGGCTGAGAGGCTGTGTATGTCTCCCAAGCTGGAGGCAGAAGTCCAGAATCAGGGTAGGGTCCATGACTGGTTGTAGATGGCCAACTTCTCCTGCGTTCACATATGGCGCAAAAGTCCCAGGGTTGCTTTTCTCAGCAGACTAATCCCATTCATGAGGGTTCTGCCCTCATGAGCTCATTTAATACAAATCACCCCAAATCCCACTTCCTGGTATCATCCCACTGCAGGAGGGTTCCAGTATTTGAACTTAGGGAACTCAAGCATTCATTCAGCCCTTGTGGGGCAGGCTCTTCCCGCTCAGGCTCAGTCACCTCAAAAGGGCTACTCCCTCTCTTGCAGATTCCTTTATCCCTTCCATTATATACTGAGTTGTATCCCCCAAGTCCTAATACTGAACACCAGGGACCTCAGCAAGTGACTGCTCACAGATGTAGTGTCTTCACAGAAGTGACCAAGGTAAAATGAGGCCTCCAGGCTGGTCCTAGCTGATGCACATCCTTTCAGAAGCAATCAGGGCACCAGTATGCAGATAGCCAACTGTGGGAGGACACAGGGAGAAGGCAGCATCTACAAGCCCAAGAGAGACTACACCTATTACACTCTGACCTCAGGCTCCTAGGATTGTGAGACATGAATTTGTTGAAGCTGCTGTCTGTTGTTTTTGTAGAGCAGTCCTGGCAGATGAATGTTTGCCCTGCCCAAGGCCCCCTGTCTCTCAACTCCTACCTGGGGGTATGACCATGACATCCACCAGAACCAAGTTCCTAAGCTAGGCTGGCCAGGAGAGACCTAAGGGAGTAGGGAGGGTGGGGGGAGATTGGTGGCTTAGATGTTACCCCACCCCCTCCCTAGCACTGCCGTTTTCCTGGTGGGTAAACTGAGGTTTGAGGCATGTCACCTGCCAGGTCACAGAATATCTGTGACCTCCATCATCTACCCCCTCTCCACTGCCCCACAGAACTGAGTCACACATAAGACAGGCATCCTCTTAACCTGCAGGCCCATGCCTTGTTTGGACCACGGCATAGTAGGCTTCACAGTGGGTGGGGTGGTGCCAAAGCATCACAGCTGTGCCCCAGAGCCCTGCACCCCGAGACAAGGCTCCTTGTCAGGCACTAATTAGAGCTCTGTGTGGCAGCCCACTCAGCACGAACAGTCAGGTGGCTTCAGCACAAATATTTCAAGCCACAGTATTCGTGTTTAATGGATTGAAATTCTCTAAACCCAGAACCCAGCTGAGCCATTACGCCAGGCAACTTGCAGGAAAGGGGCAAGCACTATGCATGGAGCCCAAGACATATAAGTCCCCGTGCCCAGAATGGAGATAGGCTGGGCCTCTCCCAGCCACAGCTAGGTGACCTTCCTCCCTCGTGGAAATACAACAGCCCAAGACCAAGAAGGAAGAGGCAGAAACAGAATCTAGGCTTCGGGGTGGCACGCTCGGGAAGTCCTACAGGCAGGCCGCAGTGAACCTGAAAGCCACGTGAGCCACTGGACACTCCATGTACCCTCTCTGCATCTTCCCCCTACTCACCTACCACCTGCAACACTCAACGACCTTTCTGCATTTAGAACATCCTGTAAAACCCACTGCAACAGTAGCCTGTGGCTATTCCCCAGCCTCCAGTTGATTACTAAACACCTACTATGTGTCAGAGACTGACAATCACTGAGATGGACACAGGGGGCCAATGAGGAACAAACGAGTGACATATTCTGTAGAGAGCAAAATGACATACAGTGAAGGACAGGATGACCAGTGGAAGGAGGGAGCCTCCGGGCCGCTGAAGCCACGGCACCTCATGCCAGGGCCCTGTAGGGGGAGCATGGGCACTGACACAGCAGCAGGGACCCTTGGGGGTGAAGGCTCTGTGTCCTGTGCTGATGACACCTAACCCCACAGCAGATGTCTCAAAGTAGAAACTCCCCAAATGGGGGATGAGGGACGCTCTTGGGCCTCCTCTCACAGAGGAGGGTGCACACTGAGGAGACTGCACAGAGTATGGCCTCATATCATGCAGGACTATAGGGGAACATAGTAAGACCTTGGTATCAACAGATCATGCACAAGGAGCTGTGCATGGCAGTTCCTGAGGCAGAGACAGACCAATGAAGAGCTGAGGCTGGGCCAGTGGGGGATGGGGCAAGTGCCTCCTGTTGGCCACTGCAGCTGACCACAGACCAGGGCCCTGGGGAGTCTCCTGGCAAGTCTGCACTGAGTGGTCCATCCTGGCTTCCCTCCAAACTCTCAATCGATCCCCTAATAACTCCATCCATTATGTTGGAGCAGAATTCTTGGAAATCATCAAGAAGGGAAAGGCTCTGTGAATGTCTGAGTCATTTTTTTTTTAAGCTAACAATGGGACTCCTCTCCCCTCGTGGCATGGCAGGCTATCCACACACAGCGTCGCATTTGTGGAAATTGCTGGGCACCCCTGGAGTGGGTGATAGCCCTGCACAGAGCCTGGTTTTCCCTTCAAGAGCACACCTTTGAGAGTGAAAGCAGACGTGCCTGGCCCTCGCCCCCTCAAATCTTGTTGGTCGTAGCTCTGGGGGCCCACAGTTGAAGAATGCTGGTGTGGCATGTCCCCGCCCCACCACCCCAGACAGTGCAGGCAGAGACCCAGCATCTCCACGTGTGTGAGCTAAATTTATATTTGGCTGCTGGAGACTGTTACTCACATTTCCTGGGTTCCGGGATCCTCACAGGAGGTGTGGGTGCCTCTGGCAGAGGTAGAGGGAGAAGCTATGCTCAGCCCTAGACTCTCCTGGTGACCTCAGGGCCTGAGTGATCCAGCCACACCTGGCAGCCCAGACACCGCCACATAGACAACATAGAGACACTGCCTGGCTCCCTACTGGGACCTCACAAGCAGGGGCTCCAGATGTCATGGTCCCCTATAAGGTGTTTTGTTAAGAGCCTGGGGGGTGGGGCTTGGGGTTGGTTTAAGGGCAGTTGCTCTCAGTATAGTGAAAGGAGACCTCTCCCACCCTCCCTGCGTGACCAAAGCAACACCCACCTCCAATTTTTGCACTTTAGAAAACATAGCCATTTTCCGTAACAGAATGTATCATGCTATCACTGTTTATCATTGGTTTCTAAGTGTACCAGTAAACAAGGGTTTTTTAAATTCCCAGTTTTAAACACTAAAAATGCCAGCAAGACAAGACTGTGTCACAGCAGCTCCTGGGGCCCTGTCCATGTGCACAAACACGATGGATCCTGAGACCCCAGGGAATGAGGGCTGATGAGCAACCTCATCCAGAAGCCAAGCCTCAAGCTAGGGCACACACGTCACACTGGAGGTTGTCACAGGATTCCTGGCCCCCAAGGGTCTATGGCCCCATGGGCTCAAGCATGCCAGCAGCCCTGTCTCCCCAACACCCCTGGGGCCTATACTGCTCCTAGCAGATGCTGCCCCCTCTGCGTGCTACCTGCCCAGCAGGATGTCCTCAATGTCCCTGGGTCTGGCCCAGCACAGCACTGGGCTTGTGGCCAAACAGGTCAACTTAGAGCAGGCCAGGCTGACTCCAACCTGCCTACCCTCAGAACTAAGCTGGTATCATAGGTATCCACTGGGCCCATGCTGGGTGGACACAGCACCCCCCCCCTCACGGTTCTAGATGGAAGTTGGGCCACATGCCACCCACCGGCTGCCCTTGTGCAGGGTTGTCTGCTGGGCACAGGGGCCTTTGTTCTGTCCTGCGACTACAGGAAGCCAGCTCCAAGAAGCTAGAGCTTTAATAATAAACTGTTTAATCAGGAAATCCCCAGGTTCCCCTCAGAAGCTGGAGCACCACAGTATAAGTTAAGATTACCTTCTGTTCCTGGTCTCAGGGTTCCCCCACTACAACAGAGAAGGTGCAGCCTAGGGCTCAGCACTCAGGTGCAGATAGGACCCCTCGACCTCTGCATGGAGGTGGGCCTGGCACCGTAAGGGTTGGGGTAGTTGCTTGCTGGTGTCCCTGTGAGGACTTCTAAGGCTGGAGGTTGTTAACACTTGGACTCCATTCCAGCTCTGTGCTAAGCCTGGGGCGGGGGTGTTTCTGAGCACGACAGACAGGGAGAGCCCTGAGCTAGCCTAGATGGTGTCCACAGCCTCTCCTGTCTGCCTTCCCAGTACCCAGGGTATGCAGCTCCACTGTCCTGAGGACCCTGCCTGTCTCAGCACCTGCAGGTCAGACAGAGGAATCTTGCCTATCAGCAGATATGAGGGAACACCGGGGCATGGGCCAAACCAGCAGCCCTATTGGTCCCCAACCCCCACCCATCTCCTTCCCACCACAGCATATGGACCCTGAACCTTCCATGGCCTGAAACCCCCACAGGCAGACATTGCCCCTTCACACCACTGCCCACTGTGGACACCGTGGACCCACCTCACTGTCTTGGTCTGTCCCTGTTGAGAAAAAAGCAAAATGGACACCTGAGGACCAAGGTGATGACCAGTTTGGAGCTGGGTGGGATGGGGTGAGAGGCTTGTGGGGGCACTGTAGATCATGCTGTGAATGCCTGATCCAGGCCTCCTGGGACTGGGGAGAGGGAAGGCTTCACAGGAACAGACCAGGAATGAGGTGTCCTCATAGTAGAGAGAGACAGCCCAGGTAGGCAGGAGGGGCTCCCTGTTTCTAGCATAGAAACAGACTGGGAATCACCGCAGCTGCTGGGAAAGTAAAACCACAGCACACCCCAACTACCTGCCCGATGTCAACATGCAAATTTCACTCCCAGGAACTCCAGTACTGCCTGTACCCAGAGCTATGAAGGGTTTGCAACTCCATTTCCATGCTCTGCTCGCTCTGTGGGCAAGAATCTGTGGCTGGTGGGTGGGCTGAGGGCCATGGGCAGTGTTATAAGGAAAACCCACAATCAATTCCGCTTACCCCATGCTGGCCTCATCCCAAGACCCCACAGAACAGATGCGCAAGCATCCCCAGCACCTATCCCACACAGTGGGGATGTAGAGGGACCACCCTACAGAGTGTCTGCAACACGTGGGGGGGGCATGTCCCTTGGCAGGGGGTTTGGGGCACTCCTCAGAGGACATGGGGCAGGGGTGCTGTGTATGTTCGAGGGTCAGGGGTGAGGATAAAGGGGGTGGGGGTAAGGGCCCAGGAGGGAGACCTCCTCCCCCCAGGCTGGGGACTGAGCAGTGCTATGCTGGGTGAGGGTTGTGGACCAAGTGAAGCTTCAGGAACTGAGAGCAGTTGAAGCCTTTGTGTCACCTCCCACCCCACACCCTCTGCTCCAGGCTGGGGGCACCTCAGCTGACAACAGCAAGGTCTCCCCAGACTCTCCCAAACATTCAGAAAGCTGCAGAGCTGAGAAGCTGGGACAGACTAAACCAAGGACAAGAGCCAGCCCCAAGTGACAGGCTGGTTGCAGGTGGTATGGCCCAGGCCCTGATGCAGCCCTTACTCCCAAGGTCAGGTCATATCCCCAACCCAGAATGGGTCCTGGCCCTAAGCAGCTCTCAGTGTGGCAGTCCAAAAAGCTGGATTAGTCAAATCAGCTCTCCAGGCCCAGAACTCCTCTTGAAGATGGAACACGGGGAGGGGCACACCAGCGGAGCTGGCATGGTGACCGGGAAACTTCAAACACTTGCAGGAGAAAGAAATATATTTTCTAATTAAAGTAAGAAAAAAAAAAGCCACTGGTCCTCAGAGGGTCACTGAGGCTCATGAAGGCGCTAAGGGTGGCACCATTGGGGTTGGGGTTCCCCTCCCCCTCATCTCTATTTCTCCTGGCAGACAGCTGAGCCTGCCCAGGCTGCCACAGATTCCTCAGGCTCCCAACCCCCACCCAGGGAAGGACGGCCTGGCCACTGCACGGCCTCAGGACCCGGGCCTAGAGCAAGGACTGAGGTACACAAGGAGGGGGCTGCTCTTTACAAGAGGTCCTATAGTGGGAGCCACAGGTGAGTAGAGCCCAAGTGCTTCAGGGCCCTGCACGGTCAGTAAAGATGCCCCATGGTTGGCTGGGGAGGGGTCTAGGGCCAGCCCTAGTCCCAGCACACCCCTTTGGTGGACACAGTACCCATGGGCAGCTGGGATTACCCGGCAAGGAGAGAGGCATTGGGAGGGGTGGGTAGGGGTTCAGCTCCACACATAAACAGTCTAAATTAGGAATTAAAACATCCCGCGATCCCAGCCATCCACAGAGCAATATTTCAAATGTGCAGGAAAACACCGGCTGTGAGACCCAAACTTCCTGCTGTGACAGCAGCACACTGACCAAGGATGCCTGTGTGCCCCATGCAGGGGGCAGCCTGGGGGCAAGGCAGACAAAGGCTCTCTGGGCACAGGCTGGGCAGGGCTACCCTGAGCTTCCCATGCTGCATAACCCTGGGAACACAGCACCCTTCTGACAGGGCTCTGTCCTGCTATGGGGCAGCCTTGGTGGACCCTGGGCCTGATGCCCACCTGGGCACAGCCTCAAAAATGCTGAGGAGGGGCCTCTGCAACAAGACAGCCCCAGGTACACCTCCACCCAACGTATATCTAGGGGTGGTCTGGCCAGGCTCTCAGAAGGTGGCCAGGTCTCTGATGCCCCTCACAGGTCCTGCACACCTGCTCCAGTGGGACCCAGAGGTGGGAGTACCACAGTGGAACACAGGCATCAGAGACAAAGGATCCAGGCCAGACACAGGGGTTCCACCAAGGGTTGCCCACAGGCTGAGAGGGCAAGCAGGGGCAGTGTCCTCATCACAGTGAGAGCTGGGAACAACCCCTGATGCACCTGCACTATATCCCAACCTGGACCCCTCTGGGTCACCCGAGACCAGAGGGATAAAGAGACACTTCCTAGCCAGGTGTGGTGATGCATGCCTGTAACCCCAAGCACTCAGAAGGCTGAGGCAGGACGATCGCACAAGTTCAGCGCCAGCCTGGGATACACAGTAAGTCCAAGTCAGCCTGAACTACATAGTGAGACTCTGTCTCAAAACAAAAACAAAAAGACACTTCTTAGGTCAGGGGATCTGCTCCCCTAGGCCACCATAGAAAGCTACTGTTCCAGTCTCTGTGCTGACACTCCATAGAGGCTCCTGTCTGTGCCCCCAGGAACCTGTGCCCACATGCAAACCAACTCTGAGAGTACACAGAAAGGGTAGGGGCCTCAGAAGCCACTGGTAGACCTGGGGTACTTTGGGCCCATCCCTCTCTGTCACCCCCCCACACACCCAGTACATACACCCCTAGCCACAAATCCAAGCCCATACCCAGCAGAAGTCCTCAGACACAAGCTTGGCCACATATCAGGCAACACAGCCTGGCAACAGGGGTTCTGGGGCATGGACTGTTGACCCACAGAACCCAGGTGCTGAGTAGACATGAGACCTGGCCACGAACACCATCAGCTGTCCCAAACCCTCAACTCTGAGTCTCACCAACACACACATAGGCTGGGAAAACCCCGTGGGACTGCCTTACCCATGGAGTCACTGCTACTCAGTCTCTTCACCTTTGGCAAGCTCCCACGGCTCCTAGTAGGAAGCTGGACAGCACTACTAAGCCCAAACAAGCATCATATGGGGATGGCCAAGCAGGTGCCCCTGGTCAATCCACAGTTCAGAGCTGGCCTAGCCCTCTGCACCCATTCACCCAGCTCTCCATGGTCACAGGCCTGAGAACCACTTCAGCCAGCATAACCTACTGGGCTCTACAGCCTAGGGTGCCAGGTAGACTTGGATTGTGGCTCAGGGCTGGAGGAAGGCATCATCCAAAAGCTGAGGACCTTGCTCAGGACCCCGGAGGAACCTGATAGAGGCAGAACGGCTGTCTAAGGTGCTGAGGCTTCAGTGGGACACAGCACCACAGGCCTGCAAAGGCTTGGGTGCTGATTAAGGGGTGGGAATGTTTTTCTTGTAGGCAATGGGGAGCCATATGTGGTCCCTGAGCGAAGCAAAAATTTACTGATTCCTGGAGATAGGGCGGGGGCTCTCAGGCCTATCTGAGTATACAGAGGGTGGACATAGAGGCTTAGCAACCTATACACATGCTGTCTACCCTCTTGGCCTAGAACCAGGGTGCTGGCCCTTCCCCTAATCCTCCAATAACCATGTTTTGGACACACAAACTCGGGCTCAAAAGAAGCCTGCCCACAGCTACCTGCATCCAGTCAGTCTCCTATGGGTGACCCTGTGCTCCCTGGGAAACTCCACAAGATCTGGATTGGTATGTACAATGGCCAACCTGATTCCTAAGTTGTACTTGGCTATACACTTCTACAAGAAGGAGGGTACCAGGTTGCAGAGGAAGACCTGGCTGCCAGGGCTCCACCTGGGGTGTATGTGGAGTCCTCTACTACTTGCAGCAATCCAGAACATTCCTTCTGCCCCATACTTCCCCACTCAGATGTATGCTGAGCACAGGGACCTTGCATTCAGACCCCACAGCACTGCCCCAAGACTTTGCATGGGCAGGCTTCCCCAGAAGGGTAGGAGACCCCAGAGGCCAAGACCCCAACCCACCCCACATATTACCCAGTTGGCAGGCAGGGGCACCAGAGATACAGGGCAGCCTGCCCATCCCCAAGGTCTAGGGATCTACCAAGCTTGGCAGCCAAGGGCCAGTGGGCAGCGTATTTGGCAGGTGGCCGCCGTGGGTGGGAGCAATGCTGTAGTCAGCCTTAACTCAGGCTCTGCCTTAGATGCTTGCTGACCAAGGTAAGTCAAAGGGAGTACTCACTGATTTAGTGAGCATTTATTGACTGCCTACTAAGGGCCAAGGCCTCAAGGACAAGCTGTGGTCCAGGGTCTTGTCTCTAGAAAGCCCCAAAACAACTGCTTTTGCTCTTCGCATCCAGGGGACCCCACCAGTAGCCCTAGAAGACAGGTAAACCTCCCAGCACACTGGGCAGGGCCAGGAGCAGCCTGGAACACACTAAATGGCTTTATGTAATGAGGGCAGCAGGCTCCTGGGGCCAGGCAGGTAAACCAGGAGCCGGCTGGGGATTAGTGACAGGCGTTGCCACAGCAACACAATGAGTGGGAAACATGTCGTGGTCGGGAGTGCACTCTGGCCTTCCCAGCTCAGCAAAGGTAAGAGGAAACCCCAGAGATTCATTAGCAACAGGTTCCCATGGCAACTGCGCCAAGCTCATTAATAATTTTTTTTTATTCCAAGTGTGGGTGTTGAAAATCTCCCAAGAGCTGACGGAGAGACGGATGCCAAGCAAGCACACACCAGCTACTCCCACCCCTGCCAGCACTGGGCAGGACACCTGTCCTTACCTAACCTGTGTAAGTCACTGAGGTTCTCCACAGAAGAGCGTACAGGAGCCACCCCCTGCCTATTTAAACGTCACCAATGAGATGCAGAGCCTGGGGCAGCCCAGGCCCAGTGACTATAGTCAAGACCATCTTCTGAGCCCACCAACCAAGGGGTGCCCACCTTGGGAGAGGCCATGATGTATCTAAAAGGAGGATTGGGTCCTGTTTACACAGGGAGTGTGGCCTCCAGAGCCATGGTGGAACCAGAGGCTCAGACACTTAAAACTCCAAGACAATAGCATGGCAGTCCCTGGAACACTCAAACAGTATTCCACCTGACCCAGAGACTCTCTTCCCCTGTATTCGAGGGAACTGAAACCAGAGCTCTACCCAGAACCTGCATACAGCTCTTTCACCAGTACTTTCAACAACAGTGAGAAACACGTGCATTCCAAAGGGTCAGAACAGGTTTCATCCACAGACGGGTCCTGCTCCTAAGTAGGAGCAAAGCAGGAGACCTGCTACCATTTGGAAGGACCTCAGAAACACAGCACTCAGCCAGAATCATCACCAGCAGGCATGTACTGTGTGAAGCCACATCCTCCAAGCATCTCAAGCAGCCAGCCACAGAGGTGACAGCAGACTAGCACAGGGATGGGACCATGTTGGGCACAGCATTTCCACCCGCCATGACAGTGCCCTAATGTTCACTGTGGTGACAGCTCTGTAAGTCTGACTGGAGTGAAAACGACTGAATCGCACACTTTATGAGCATGCCGTGTGGCATGTGGCCCACATCCTAGTAAGGATGTTTGGAAAAGAACAGGCACAGGCATTGCTGGAGTTGGTCTGCCTGGCTCCAGATCCTGCATGTGGCAGGAGCCTGCTTGGAGCCTCAGTGTCCTCACAAGCAGAATGCATGAGGCTTAGCAGGTGAGTGGACCCAATTCCTGGGCCCTGTCCTGTGCCCACCAGGCAAGGGATTCCTAGCCTCTGTTTTGGAAAGGAATATGACCGAAGACCTAGGAGCCTTCTGGGGCCAAAGACAACCTCCTCCCAGGAAGAGCAAAAACATAGCTTTTGGGGACATGGACAGCAAATTCACAATGACCCCACCGGGACCCTGCCCATCTCACAGAGCATGAAGCACACTCCCTACTCCCAAGCCACCAGCCAGTGCTTAGCTCCAATTCACATACAGAATGAGTCCCCTATAGGCACATGAGGATGGGGGAGTGGGTCACAGCAATGAGACAATTTGCAGTTAGACAAAACAGGCTTGTTTGCAGCCAGTGCCTGCGTGCCACCATCCACACCACGCATGGTAACAGCAGGCCTGCCGGGCCAGGCACCAGACACAGCCAATTTCCCAATTAGGAGCTATAAACTCACCAGTGCATGGTGTGCCCTTCATAGTGCAAAGGAGGACCAGCTTCCAGCTCCAGAATTTAGCAAGAGAAAAGAAATAACAGCAGGGGTAAGCCCTGGAGGAAGACCTGCAGAACTGGGGACTCTGGCCAGGTAGAGGGGTGAAGTGAAACATCCCACCATGTACTCTTGGGATGGCAATGGAGAGAGAGAACAAGAGGGAAAGGCCACCTTGGGTAATGTGGATTCTGGGAAAGGGTGAGGATGAGGCCCGAAGGTCAGGCCTTTCCCTCTAGCTCTCAGCCAAGGTCCCAATGCCAGCCACCCCTTCTTCGCTCGGTACCACCAAACCCAGCTTTGTTGAGGGAGGCCTGGACCCATTCCCCGTGCTCAGCCTCTTCTCATGACTACAGCTGATTCAGGCTTTATCATCCTCTCTTAGCAACCCAGATTCAGTGGAAGGTAAGAAATACAAGGCTTTGGGTCATGAAGGAAGAACGGGCCAAGCGTCAGCAGGCCCAGCTTCTGAAACATAAAATCTGATTTGGGCCATCTGTGAGCTGCTGTTCCCAGCCCTATAAGTTCTTCCTGTGACAGTGTCTGGCTTTAAGAACATTCCTCTGGATGGCAGCTAGGGGAGGTGGGGGTGTTGCTGGGCAGCAGCCCATGTCCCGGTATCTCCAGCTTGCCACCAGGTACCACCTGTCCAACAGAGGGCCTGTGTGAGCCCCTCCTTGCTTACCAGGTTGGTGTCACCATCCCTGTCCCATGTGGGGTGTCTTTCACATCCCAGAGTCCCCATGGAAGCCAGTGACCTTGGGATCAGCACCCCAAAGGGCATAACCTCTGCAGAAAACAGATCAGGCAAATAATCTGCTACAGACTTACATGCTGCTAACCAAGGGACGGTGTGGGCCAGTGAGTAGGCTCGCTGTGAGGAATGCACACAGGGTTTGTGGTTGCCCCTTGCTTCCTATGAACACCAGGTCACAGAGGGCTCCCCTGCTCTAAGATGCTAGATTTCAGGGCCAGCAAGGATAGGTGACCCAAGCAAACCCAAACACACAAACCAAGGTCCTACTGAGAGGACCTGAATCTCATGGATAGCGGTGAGGTGTCACATGGCCAGCTGAGACCCCATGACCTGGTGACCCACTGGCACAAGAAATGTCTCTAAGGACCTGGCCCTGGTGCCTTTGCCTACTTTCCTTTCCAAGGCTCCTGCAGAGATGGGGAAGGAGAATGCAGCTGGGATAAGGCTCCATTGGCAGGCATAAGGTCTGGAAGGTCAATGCTTGGGCAGGCAGAGTGGCTACAGCCACGCACCCAGGCCACTGCTGCAGCCCTCTATGGAATCTTCACTATGCTAGTGAGGAGCTACAGTGCCCTATAGGAACAGCAACTCCCACGGCTGAGGAGTTCACATCAGTACCTCCCATATCACCCAGGCTAGATAGAGATCTGGGTGTCCAAGATACCCACAAAGGTCAAGGGGCTTCATTCCACAGGAAGATGTCCAGCAGCTGATGTCCAGACCAGCAAGAGGCCAGGCCAGGCCAGGCCAGGCCAGAGTGGATTCCAATGATGTCTGCTGTGTTTAGAGTATGGTTGCCCACTAGAGAGTATGAAAATACATGAATCTAGAGAAAGAACAAATCATCCTTAGCATATGTCGCAAATGTTACATGAGCCACCGCAATGCTAAAATGTTCTTCGCTGTTATCATAAACTCTAACTTCATTGGGTGTCTCGTCCTCTGGGCCCAGGACTAGGGTCTGTCGTATTCACAGATGGCATCAGTAGGCACATCATCAACTTCCATGGGAGGGCGGATCCAGCACCTGTGCCCACCCTGGACCTTGCCCAGTGGACCCACATGGCCTCAGCCCTACCCTGGTCCTCTGCAGGTACTCAGTCCTCACGTCCTCCTAAACCTGAAGATGCTGAGCAGCTGTGACTCACAATGTGACATGGGCTATTGACAGTCACAGGTCCCAGCCAGTCACTGAAGTGACACAGCAGGACAGGTTCCTACCTGCTGGGGAAGGGAAAGGAGGGAGGTGGCATACCCAACCAAGCCGCTTACCCTGGTACCCACTGGAGCACTCTGACACCATCTGGCATGCCAAGCCCATGGTGTGGCTGGCCTGGGCTGGGGCAAGGTGAGCACCATGCTGCTGCCACCAGCCAGAGTAGGGCACCCTCCATCCTCAGGGACATGGGGTTGTGGCCAGAGCAGGAGGCTGCTTGGCTCTGCCCCAGCCAGGAAAAGCTCCATCCATTTCAATGAAGTGCTAATGCAGGCTGACTCACCAGACAGTGGCCATGGCTGGAGTGGTGTCTGCTTCCAGAGACAAAGGGACATTGTGGGGACAGTGCCACATGCCCCCTGGGTGGCTCAAAGAACCCTCATCTTCTTACACTTCCTGTTTGGCCACTCCCTGGGCATGCCTGGGTACAGGTTCTCCATCTCCATAGCAGGCTAGGCTGTGTAAAGCTAGGGCTCAGGCTGGCTACTCCAAGGACACCAACCAGGCCAGGCCAAACTGTGCTGTGCTGCGCAGACACCAGTGCAGGCCACAAAGGATCTGGCCTTGTGTAGAACCTCCCGACACTGCTTTCCCCCACACCCTACACAGGGTCCCTGCTCCCACCAGGCCCTGCTGGGGAAGACTAGAGAGGAACATACCCTCACACACACTACCTTCAGAAAATTACCCTAAGGCCCTGCTACAGGGCAGAGGGGGCCATAAATTCTCAGGATGCAAGGCAGGGGGCCTGAGAGCAGGCTGCTTCACCCGCTCGGAGCACAGAACAGAGAAACTGGGCAATACCCCAGGAATACACAGCAATCTCAAGGACCAGACGCCCACTGCAGGCCCAGACAGGCAGAAGCACCTGGCCAAGTCTGGATAGGGTCAAGACACCCACTGGGTGGTGTGAAAACATTTTAGGGGTCTTGGGCCAGTGCCCATGCATCTCCCACCCACACACTGCTATCTACCTCCCCTGGCCTGTACACCACAGCCTGGTAGACCGGCCTCCAGCTTGAACAGAACAGTGACAGTCAGCCACGGCAGCACCAGGGCCTGAATGCCCCATCCTTGCCCATAACAGCACCCAGACCCCTCAGAAGTATCTCAGGAAATAACCCCAGGCCTGCCTGAGGCTGGGGGTGGGGCACAGTTTCACACTCAAGCTGAGGTCTCCGGCTGACTACAAAAGGGATAGTCTTGGTCCTCTGGATACACAAACAGCAGCTAGAGTAGACACCTACAAAGCTTCCAGCAACACAATCCAGACCCAGGCAGTGGCATCTGGACAGAGCCAAATGGGGTTCCAAAGCTGGGGCTTGTTTGCAACTGCTGCAACCAAACTGTACCCCTCAGAAAACTCCTGGCAGGCCCAGGCCAACAGCACAAAGCAGACACCTTGCTAGGGGAGGTTCCCATGGCTCCTTCCGGGAGCAGAGCTTTAAAGGAGTGGGGCTCTCAACCTCGCCTAAAGACCTGCCTTCACAGACTGCCACGGTAGCCACCTCCCCTTCGAAGCCCTCTTGCTGGTGACAGCCCAGCCCCTCCTGACAACTGTACTCCAGGCACCTGCAGGGACACCCAGGGAGGCCTCTGACCAGGGCAAGAACACAGACACTGGCATGGGCCTCCCATGCTGATGAGATGCTCAAGATGACCAATTTCACGGCTGATTTTCCCCTCTCCCTGGGTGGCCCCACTCCTCATCTCAGAGCTTGACACTGCGTGTCTAATTGTGATTTATCTGGAGAAGATTGCCTGCCTCTGTTAGTGTCTCAGGCACCTCCTACTCCAAGCCACAGATCTCTCTGGGGGAGACCATTGGAAGGGGCTCGCAAAGATGTGTGCGGGAGGGGCGCCATGCTCACAGCTGCATCACAGGCCAAGTGGGCATCCTGGAGCTGCTGTAACAAAACATTAAGGGCCAGGTGTGGTGGCACACGCCTATAATCCCAGCAACTGGGACACCGAGGCAGGAAGACTTCCCAAGTTTGAGGCCTGCCTGGGCTACATAGCAAGTTCAAGGCCACCCTGAACTATATAGCAAGACCTGTCTCAAAACATAAAACTAAAAAGCACTATGATCCAGGGGATTTAAACAACAGAAGGTTACTCTTCCAGACCCGGAGAACAGGAGCCCATATCCAGGTGTCCACAAGCTGCTCTTCCCAGGACACTGAGGGAACCTGTCCCCAGCCTCTTCCAGCTCCTTTATATGGCCTGTGGCAGAATCGTTCCAGTCTCTGCCACTGGCATCACATGGCCACTCCTCTGTGTGTCTGTCTCCTCTTCTCACAAGGATGCCTGCTGTTGGATTTAGAGCAAACCCTACTCCAACATATTCTCAGCCCAGCTGGATTACATGTGCACAGACCCTATATCCACACAAGGTCACACTGTAAAGTTACGAATCTCAAAGGGATCAGCACTTAGTCTGGCACAGCAAACTAACATATCGTATATGAGTGATACATAGCTCTCACTTGTTACACAGCAAAAGACCATGAAAGCTCTAAGAAAACCAAGGCCCTGAAGGTGACCTGACAAGCCCCAGGTTGTGGGCACAGGGGGCCTCTGGCAGAGACTCAGTGCCACCTTGGCCTTCCTGGCCATCATGACTTCAGGTGACACCATGACTTTCAGGTGTGGTCTGCTCACCCCAAAGTCTCTGCCACCTTCTGGTAAACCTGCCCTCAAATGTTACCTCCTACCCTATTCCTTCTGATGCTACCTGAGTACAGGTCAGGGTACTTCTTAGGACCAAGAGGGGTCTGTGCCCACAGTCAGCTGGAGTCCTTGTTGACCAGCCAACAGCACTCCTCCCTGGATGGCACCTAGCCCATGTCCTCTGATCCCAGGCCCCTCCAGGAACCCACTCTGCCAATGACCATGAAGGACACCTAGAGGTGATACAATGGAAAAATAGAAATACATATGGAGGTACCACCCAGCAGGCAAGGACTGTCAGTCCCGTCTGTCTGCAGCCATGGAGATCCCAGGATTCCAGGAGCCTTCTAAAGTTGAGTATGTCCCAACAGACACTGTCCCCTGACAAGGTGTCAAGGTGTTCCCCTCAGTCCTCATGCCAGCAGAATCTCACAGAAGAGCCCTTTCGTAAGTGGCAGAAAGCCAAGGAGGAAGAGAAGGAACCAGGACAAAAAGGTGGAGAGTAAGCATAGGCCTTAGGCCCCTCCCCTGGGCCACTATCCCCTCTGCACCAGTCCTCTGACCTTACCTGCAGCCCAGCCTGGGGGCACAGAGCTAGCTGAGCCAGGAGGGAAGAGGACAGAGTGACCAGGCAAGTGGAATGCCTGCCAAACACATCCACGTGGCACTGCAGCCAGGATTCACTTAGCTCCAGGCAGCAGGGCCAAAGCTATGCCCATACAGGATGGCTTGTCCCCAGCTCCAAGCAGGCCCAGAGGTTCACCAAGAAGTCTCCCCATCATATGGCCTGGGTGCACAATGGGCCTGCCTCACCTCTGTGACTCTGGTATGCTTATGGGAGAAGGACCCCTGCTTCACAGGGATGGCTCACCCACAGGTTCCAGGCCACTCTCACATGGTGGCCCAAGCAAGGGCCAGAGACATGCACCAAGGTGACAATGTAGAGTCAGGTGGAGCTGGCTGAGTAAGATCAGTGGGCACTGTGAGGCCTGTGTACACTTCATGTCCAGCCCACATCCCCTGGGGGGTCAGAAGGACCACTTCACTGCTATGGTAGAAAAGGTTGGCATGGGACCATTCCAGGACATTGCCTCACTTCAGGTCAGCATTGCACATGAAAAGATCTTCTGAGAGCCCACAAAGTCCTCCTACAGCTAGGAGCAATTCATGTGGGGCCATCTGTGAAAGCACGGCTCTCCCTCTGCCCACTGGTCCTAGCAAGTGAAGAAGTTGTAGTGAGATCACGAAGACCTGGTTCCTCCCACCTGGCACTAATTAAGCACATTCATCAACTATCCTGCTAATCATCCTTCCAGACTCTGACATTGCCACCAGCATGCCATGTCTCCTGCCAGCCCAAGGCCCACCTCTGCCCCACTGCAGAGTCTGCAGGAGGCTGGAGACATCAGCTCTGGGGCATCCACAAGGCGGGTAAAAGTGCACACCCTTCAAGTCTGTTCTGTAGAGACCTCACTGAGCAACACAGGGAGCAAGCACCCCATCTGTCATCTAGGCAGGCACAGTGCTCTGGGGATGGTGCCCGGACCTACTGCCAACTCTCTAGTCGGGCAGGGCCCGAGAGCCAGCAGGGCTGCTTTCTTGTGTCCTATCCCTAGTGCATCTCGTCTGCGCTCTCATTCTCCAAATCTCTGACCACAGACCAGGCCCTGATGCACAGGAGTCAGCACATACTGACTCTATGCCTCTTTTTGCCCAGGAAAGGCAACTGGTCTCTAATCCCTGGTCTGAAAATGCTACCTATACCCCTGTGACTCAGGGCTGCTGCAAGTTGTACCAAAATTAACCCTTAAGGGTGTGTTAATCCTTCTTGCCAAGAGGAAGAATGACATTTTCAAGATCCTCAGCTCCCTTCACACAAACCCCACATCTACATAAACAGAAGTAACAGATTTTTTGCCTGACTTTGATGGCTCAGGACCAAGTTTAGACCTGGCTTGCTGCTCTGGACCTGGCCCATTCCCTGTGCTCCTCCACATCCTGACTGTGGAC